TTTTAGATAGCATTCCCGCATCCCATAGATTGAATGAGTCTATAGAGTTCGACAAGTCGTCTGATCAGAAGGTTCTCGGCCTGCGCTGGTGTAAGTCTGACGACAATTTTGAGTTCCGAATTTCCTCGCCGACATTTACGTGTACTAAACGTGGTATACTTTCCACCGTAGCTCGTCTATGGGACATCATGGGCTTCGTTGCGCCCGTTGTTTTGTATGCGAAATTACTTATAAAAGAATTATGGCTTTTAAAGCTCGATTGGGACGAAGTTCCCCCGCATCGCATTGTATGTCTATGGCAATCGTTTTGCTCAACGCTCCCGCATTTAAATAATTTTAAGATTCCGCGTCATTTGGGTCTCTTTGAAGATTGTGTTTTTCGTTTAATTGGATTTTCTGACGCTAGTGAACGTGCTTATGGTGCCGTCATCTACGCTCATATAACTCGCGCCAGTGAAGTGACTGTTCAATTAGTTTGTGCAAAGTCTAAAGTTTCACCAGTGAAACCATTATCTATTGCCAGATTAGAGCTTTGCGCCGCTGAGTTACTGTCAAAGCTTCTTCGTCGTGTCTATGACACTTATAACTCACGTTATGATATATCCACTATTTACGCATTTACTGATTCCAAGGTAACTCTTTGTTGGATTAATTCCGCCCCGCATCGCTGGCAAACGTTTGTCGCCAATCGCGTCGTTCGTATCATCGAAAACATTCCCGCGAAACACTTCTACCACGTAGCTGGTACTGAAAATCCCGCTGATTGTCTGTCACGGGGCCTAACTCCCGATCAACTCATCGCACACTCTTTGTGGTTGCATGGACCGTCTTGGGTGAAGAACGATCCTTCCGAATGGCCTATAAACAAAATTACTGTTTTGGACACAGAAGTGATCCCAGAAGAGAAAAATCATTCTTACCCGGTTGTTTTAACTCCAGAATGTGACTCGCCGCTACTTGCGCTCGCCGAACGTACGTCGTCTTGGACGAAGTTACTTCGTGTTATCGTATTTATATATCGCTTTCTTAATAAGATCCCGCGTCGAATAAAATCTATAACTGTAAGCGACCTCGAATACGCTGAAAACGCTTTATTACGTCAAGTTCAAAATAAATATTTCTTTAAAGATTTCGCTAACTTAAAAAACGGCAAAGGTTGTTCGCCCGCTTTAGTTAAACTACAACCTTTCATTGAAAATGATATAATTCGAGTTGGTGGCCGATTATCTCGTTCGGTTGAGACTTATAATGTTAAACATCCCGCTATTTTACCGCGACGTGATCGCATAGTAGAGCTTCTAATCGATTATTATCATAAAAAATATTTCCATGCAGGTCCAGAACTCGTAATGTCTTTATTGCGTCATAGATATTGGATATTATCCGCTAGAGGAACTATCCGATTTATAATCCATAGGTGTAATGTTTGTCACAAATGGAAACCGCGTCCGCAGAATGCGCCGATCATGAGTGACCTTCCCGAACATAGAGTTAATGTTCCGCTTAAGGCCTTTTCACATACGGGCTGTGATTACGCCGGACCGATATTTTACGTGCCCATATGCACTAGAGGGGCAAAGAGTCGTAAGGGTTACTTATGTATTTTCACCTGTATGACTACTCGAGCTATTCACATCGAATTCGCTACCGATCTTACTACCGCTTGTTTTTTAGCCGCTTTAAAACGTTTTCTGTCGCGCCGCGGACCGATACATTGTTTATATTCCGACAACGGAACAAATTTCCGCGGAGCATATTCATATTTACGCGACTTATATAACTTCATTGACAAAGAATATCGCCCTCGTTTGGAGGAGGAGCTAGCCGAAAATCGTATAGAGTGGAAATTTATTCCACCCGCTTCACCACACTTCGGAGGTTGTTGGGAGTCGATGGTGAAAGTTGTAAAAACGCATCTTTTCAAAACGATAGGTCAACAGCTTCTTTCTTACGAGGAATTAATTACTATTCTTACGCAAATGGAGTGCTTAATAAATTCTAGGCCTCTCACGGTTCTCAGTGCCGATCCATCAGAGCCTAGCGCGCTAACTCCTTCGCATTTTTTACATACTGTACCGCTTTATTCGCTGCCCGCCGCAGAGATAGAATCAAACGCTGTCAATCTACTCGAAAGACATTCGCTTATGGACAAAATGGTCCAATCATTTTGGAAAAGATGGCGATGCGAGTATCTCTATAATTTACAAACGCGTCAAAAATGGAATATGTCTGATAATAACATGATACAGAAGGGTACGGTGGTAGTAGTAATGAATGATAATGCACCTCCTTTGTCATGGCCTTTGGGCGTTATTGAGAAAACGCATCCGTCTAAGGACGGCCGCATACGTGTCGTTTCTGTCCGCACTTCTGAAAGGCATAATTGTGCGACCTGTGGTCCGCTTATGTCCTATTCCTACACAATAAATTAAAATACCCTTTTTTCTGTTTCCCTCGTAAGTTTCGCTTAATAAATTTTCTTTAAAGGTACCCTTTAAGGGCCGGGGGAAATGGTAACGCCAACATACATATATTTTAATATTAATAATTAATTTGATTATTCGCGCCGCTTTACAATAAGTATCTCCATTTTGTATTTCTCGCTGGTTGACATTAGTACTTTTCCTGTCTTCCTCCCTCTTTGGCACTGCACAAAAATAAGAGAGAAAGAGCGAGACAGAACATATTCCCGCTGCATCTATGGCGTCTTCAGTAGGAGTCGCTAGTTGAAGAAATTCGCCCGCCGCGTCCGCATTGTAATCGTTCTTCTGTGTTTCGCCGTGTCATAAAACTATATAATTCCGCTTGAATTCCGCATATTGTACTGGTGAGAAGTGTTAGTGAAGAGGTGCTGATGTTCTGTGCTATTTGAGTGTATAAAACTTAACCGCCACGCCGACGATTTTCTCAGTACGTTTCACTGAAGTTACCGAGGCGTTTTATTACGCCCATAACAGCGTTTAAGTATTTTGGAGGAGACAGGCCAGGTAAACAGGCCTGTCACACCTGTTGGAGTCCACCTACAGCGCCGTGATACTGAGGAAGGAGACGCCGCCTATGCTCGAGAGCCGCCATTGCGCCATATTGACCACAAGTAAGTGCAGTGCCTCTCCCCTTATAAATTCCATTTATTTCGTACTTGTCACCAGCTCTTACCTCGCGAAAACACGCTCTAATTTAATTATTTATTTTTCTTGACCGCGCCTTACAGTCCACCCACGTTTTTAAGGAGATTTCGATCTCCCTCCCTGCGTAGCCTGCCTAAGGCCATAAAGGGCGCCTTCACTAATAATATTAAACCTTTTAGAATTCGAGAAAGTAGGTATTAGGTTAATGTATTTCATTATTATAATATTATTCTTATTTGTTATTATAACTTAGGTGATAAATATTTAAAGTAATATGATCTTTTAAAGTTTTCTAAGTCATATAATGATAATGTTGAAGTTGTAATTTTAATTTATTTTTCTTTTATTTAGGAACTATGACAGGTTCGATTCCTTGTTCAAGTTTAGTTGATAGTGAGCTAATTTCGAATAATAATATTAATCCAATATGTGTTTAATATATATTGTCATGTGAAATAGTTGTTTAATTATTGTTTATTTATTGTAAAAATTTTAAGGATGTTTGTTAATACTGTTTAATTGTTTCATGTTCATACTTCATCTGCCGGATTCCCGTAAGAGTATGATGAAGCTGGCGCGTATCCTGACGTCAGAAATACGGAGGGCCTACTATGAAGCATCTCTGTTGATAAGTCGACAGACACCCACTTCATGTGCGCGTCGTCATTATTATTGTATCGCGCGTAGTGTTTATACATGGGCATTGCGAGGGTCGGGGAACCCATCTGGTTCCATAGGAATTGGGTTTTGTCTTGTTTGATGCTGGACGTCCTTAGGCTCCATATGTCAGTTTGTTGTCTCATGGGTGTCAATGATTTATCATGGATGCTTATAAGATATACACATTGTCATTGGCCATATCCGTTTGTTATTATTTTGGGTTGGATATTAACTATAATTGATTCGATTTTGATTGATTTTAGCTACGGGAATCGGGAATATCATATGATAGCTGTATTTAAAATAAAGTTTGTCGTGTTTGGGTTTTGACGTCATCCAATATCAAACTTAGGGTTTTGATGATTGTAGTCATTTGGGAGACGTACAGGTGCTTTTATTGAGGTTTTGCACTTGTAGAGTTTCTGCAATGTGAAGAATTCCTTAAGAAGTCTGAACAATAAAGTAGTAAATTGGAATTTCATTGCAGGAGCTGGTTTATTAGTAAAAACCGCCTCCTCTAAGTTCCTCAAGCAGGTAGGACTTAGGGTTTAGACTTCTGTAAAAATTATTCGAGCGTCTTCACACGCTCTAATAATTTTTTTAGGGAGCCCGGGCATGTAACGTCCGAGCACATTGCTATAGATAGGGTTTACTCTTCGGACGGTTTATGGTCAAGTGCTGGCCGTTAATATTTTAAATTATTACTTTTTCTTATTCGAATTCGCGTGTTCTTGTTTTGCTGGTAAATAGTCTTTCTTTCTGATCGAGACCAGCTTAGGGTGAGCATCGTAGCATAATATTATTGTAAGTGATTAAATGTAATTCTTATCAGAAATATATCAAGACTGAGGAGTTCTACCAGTTTTTTCATTGCGCCACCCACCTCCACCATTAGACTAAGTTGCCATAAGTCGCCACAGTACCTATTAAGCGTAAAAATTTAAAGTTTACGACAGTAGTTCCCGTATATAACGAAGATAAAAGGAAAACTATCACAATTAGTTGGCTTTACAACTTTACGAGTAAAAGTCGACCAATTGTGTTAATTCGAAAATTTCGAACATTTTCCAAAGAAAACGACAAGCGTGAATTTTTTTTACTCTTCATACGCGAGTCCGATACGCACTCGGGCGGTGTTTTAATATTAATCCTGCTTGTAACCAAATATATTGCAATAGAAAAGAGAAAAAAGCAACTCTTTCCGAGTTGCTTGCCGGTCCTTCTCAGTACAAGGTCCCCAGCCATTGATTTACGAACTCATGACACAGCTTTCAACATTCACGAGCTTCTAACTAATACAATAAATGAAGGCTGTTAAAATAACATTGTAAAATATTCACCTTTAATTTTTCTTCTCTTCTTTAACCTCCTTGATTTCCTTTGGTTTCTGAGGGTTGTTCTTCCATACATAGTAAGACAATGAGGTAGCATAACCCAGCCATGCGAGGTAAGGCACCATCAACCAGCCGGCGGTCTTGTTCACGGCGAAGAATGATACAGTGGTCGCGGTTGCTGCCCCCGACAGAACTATGATTTCAATTGTCGCCTGTCGAACAAAAACAATAAAGTATTCTATTCTGTTCTTGTAAATATTTATAATTAATAAGCAAATTAAATGTTTTCTTGTCTTAATTTTGATTTTAAACTCGTTTACACCCGCTAAAAGGCTGTACGCCATATACATAACGTCATATCTATACTAATATTTACAAGAGGCAAATTGTTATTGTTTGTTTGTTTGCTTTAAACAAAGTTGAAACTACTGGAGTATAATTTACGCCAAGTTGTCGTCACATCTTGTTAACAAATAAAAAATTATATGCTTTCGATTAAAATATATGATACAGTACCATATACATCTGCTACAAAATTAATGAGTAGCTGCTAGACAAGCCTGACGCCTAGCCTAGACTAGCCTAGTCGTAAGACTAGCCTTACATAATGCAGAAATGTTTTTGACAATATATGACGCCAAATTATGGCAGGTTGTGTAATCATATTTTAATGAATATAAGAGGGACGTAAAGCTAAACAGTATGACTCTCTATATTACTGTGTTTGGTGATCTATTTAGATTATTGAACAAAACTGCTGCTTAATTCCTTCAGCTATGAAGTAACTCACATATTTTTTAATTTCCCTTATTAAAAAAATAAAACAACAAAAGGGATCCTATTTCCATTTCTCCAATCTAAGTTGATTTTAAGATGCTTAAAAAATTTTTATTGCAAGACATACATTGGGAACTTTTCCACATCAGTGTGATCTAAATCAAACCAACCAAACCAATTCTGATAACCAATTCTTACCAGCTTGAAATCTTTCATTCCAAAGAAAATTGGTGTCCAAGCCCAGTTGAGGAGCAGCTGGCCACCATATAGGGTCAAAGGCAGGACTGCTTGCTCTAAAATCATGTCATCAATTAAAACTTTAATTTCTTGATGAATATGTATTTCATAATACTTAAAATCATCTTAAAACAATTAGTAATAGAAAAAGAATTTGAATTTGTTTTATTATAAATATATAAACTCTGCAGATTTATGAGTGAATTTGATAAAAACACCCTTAATGTAAGAGCCTTGAGTAAATAGAATTTTGCTATATTAAATATATCAAGAAGTTACTCAAACTAACTCTCGCACTGAATGTTTAATTTGGGAGTGAGACAACTGTATTAATAAACTTTGATGTTATTTATTAGTTATTATGAATTACTAAACTAATAATAATTATAATTGTAATTGTCTCGGAGTGTAACATTTTTTACATAATTATTTATGATAAGTGATTTCTGATAAACTTAAGCAACAAAGTCCATGCCACAGGCAACCATTATCTTATCATCTCAATCCATTTGTTGTATGCCAATTGGACTGTCAACAGCAGGTCAGTAATAGCAAACTTTCAACTTTCCTCGCTGATTTTAAACTTAAATACATTCAACATAATAGTTCAAAATCTATTGTGGATATTGGAATTATTGTGCAGCCTGAAATTCTTGTAAATTTATGACAGAATTGAATTCAATTTTATTGTATGCACATTCAATGAACTTGTATGATGTAAATAATTATTTAGAAACAAACATTTTAAAGGATTACTCGAAGAAGATGAACTATTAAAAGCAAAACATAAATAGAGAAATAAAAGCTTACATATTTTATCAACTCTAAAACTGTTATAAATGACTTTACCTGTGAATCCCCCACATTCTTCATAAACTAAGTAGGAAGCATATCCAATGCTACTGTAAAGTGTGGTCCATGCTGGACCGAACACCCATTTTGGAGGATTCCATGGTGCCTTTTTCAGTTCATCATACCAAGACTTCTTTTCAGTTCGGATCTGACCAGCAAAGTAAATCCCGCTAGCCCAACCACCCAAGTTGGGGAGGATTATGGAACCGAGAGCAGACCAGTTCGCCATTGTGGTTATATACTCTTTGTGCCTAAAATTAATAACAGATTTGGCTTTAACCATATTTATTTCTATTATAATAGTTAAATATATTATTCACATAAACAAAATGACTCTAAATGTCCTACCATTATTCAAAGTTTCCAGTGTAAATTGAACTTAATAAATAATATTTAGTTCATTAACACAACACCTACCTATCTAAGATATCCATTTTAAAATAAATTTAATTCCACTATCAACAAAGGTTACGATGCAAATGAATTAATAAATAATTGAAACAATATCTTTTTTAAGCAGATAAGACATATTAATCAGTCTACTGTAATGCCATGGCCTAATGCTAATTTTAGAAACAATATACGTCACGCATACCGGTTTTTGGATTAAAATAATACGTACAGTTGTTTAATTATACTGATGATGTAATTGTAGATAAAGATGAGTAGAAATTTAATCGGAACCGAGTCCTATCAATATTACGCAATTTAGTGAGTGTTATTAGTTTCGCCGGCTTAATATTTTTTACTAAAAATATAGTGTGCAAGGTGAGTTTATGTACTTACTATTTACGAAATGATTGTATCCAACAATACAGCAGAGTGAACTCAAGATAATGCTCATAAACTACATAAAAAAGATTGTGAAAATGAGAAAACGTTGGAGAAATCACTTGTTCGAACAAATATAATACTGTTATTCATAGACGTAGCAGTTCTCTAATGCTAAAACGAGAAGAACTACCATCCGAAACTGGTAGTATTAATGCAGAAAATGACGTTTGTCAGATGACTAATACGGTTCATTTAACGCATTGACCTAAAAGTAGGTATATCTGAATGATTTAACGTATTATTACCACTGCAGGCCCCGGGCTATAAATGGGCAGACTGGGCATTTGCCCCGGGCGCCAAATTTTTGGGGGCGCAAAATAAAAGAAATAATAAAAATAAATGAGAGAAACAAATTGCCTTAAAAATAAAATTTTAAGTTGTAATCTTTGCTGGAAGTGTGAATTATGTAGAAATATACCTCTACAGTTTTGTGTATGAAATACGTGTTTTCTTGTTATTTTCTTCATAAAATATAAGTAACATAGATTATTTGCTTTTACAATATAGTAATAAAGGGGGCGCCAGTAGACCATTTGCCCAGGGCGCCAGTCACCTAAGCCCGGGGCCTGCCACTGATTTCTACGGAGGTTTTCTGTAGGATAATAATTAATATCCGCTCGACTTCAATATAAGTTTCTTGAAAAAGTCGCCTTTAAAACAAGTTTTATTTCTCACTATTTTAAATTTTAAGTTTTGCTAAATTGCGATTCCAGTGCAGGCCCGAATGGCCTACAACAATTACCTTTGACATTTCAGCAAGTTTTTCCAATGTCTTAATCAAGTCTAATAATATCTGAATAAAAGTTATAACAGTAATAATAAAAATTTCATTTTGTTTACCTTTATTTTCTGGGCATAGATATCATCATCATCATCATCATCAGCCGGAAGACGTCCACTGCTGAACATAGGCCTCCCCCTTTGAACTCCACGGCATAGATATATCTAAATTATATTCTAATTATATACACTTACAATTAGAATCAATCGAAACAACAGATAGATAGTTTTATTTCCATGTTGGCTATCAGTAAAAGATGAATTTAGAAAATGCTAGTCTCATCTCAACCCCGCGAAAATGCAAAATTGCCCAACTCTTTCAGACTACCAAAAGTTCAAAATTTCAACAAAACTATTATAAATGTTTTTGAAATTTATCTTGTAAATAAAATGTTCTGCACTGCTGCTTCTGAGATCTTCTTTTTCCTAATGTTAAAATGAATGGAGAATAGATGCACAAACGTCCATTAAAATTTGTCATTAGTTAAAAGCGACATTACTCATCCAAATTTGACATACATTAGAGCTTAAAGGTGTCATTAAACCTTAAGGGCCGTTTGTGCAAGTGACCGTTAATCATTCAGCATGAGTGTTAGCTTTCCGCATAAATGTACATTTGTGGCTAGGAGAGACATTACAGTTGTGTCATAAAGTATGAGTCGCTTGGAACGTTTTAAAAATCAATTAGATAGTAAATTGTATCATTTGAAACATAATAGTAATCCCAATGATTTGTACAAAGATTTCTTTGATGTTTATTGTACAGAATTCAATAAGATTTTTGTCCCAAAAAAAATAAGTATTAGTAATCCTATAACTTTTAGTGTGTGGGCTACACCAGGAATCTACAAAAGCAGAAAAAGGCTCTATGAACTATATGATGAACGTAATTATAACACAAGTGAGGACTTCAAAGAATATATACGAAATTACTCTAAATTATTTAAAAAAGTGTGTCGTTTAGCCAAATGTAATTATTTAAATGCAAAAATTGAAAATAGTAAAGACAAAGTTAAAATGACGTGGAATATCATAAATAGTGAAACTGGAAGAGAAAAATCCCGGAATATAAATTTTAATTTAAACATTGATAATAAAAAAGTAACATCAGATCTTGAAGTTGCTACAGTATTTGAAAATTTATTTACTGATATTCCAGTCTTAATTACACAATCTTTGAATTCCTCTTCCACTGTTGCTGAATCTATTTTAAAGGCAAGTTTAAATAATTCTAATAGCCAATTTAAGTTTCAACACATTGATTTTAAAGATATAATAAAATCTTTTAATCAGCTAAAGAAAACGAAAACTGCTGATTTATGGGGTAATTCCATTGAAGTTTCTAAATCGGTAATTGAGACAATAACTCCAATCTTAGCTTATATATTTAATGAATGTACTGATTGTGGTATTTTTCCTGAGCTCATGAAATATAGTAAAATTATTCCTTTACATAAATCGGGTAGCACATCTGACCCTACTAACTTTAGACCTATATCCGTGCTACCTAAGTTTAGTAAGATTTTTGAAAAAATCATGCTGGATCAAATACAAACGTACTTTTACAAGAATAAGCTTATGAATCGACAACAATTTGGTTTTACAAGGGGTCGCTCGACAACCGAAGCCGGTATCGAGTTAATACAAGAAATTTTTAATGCCTGGGAGGATTCACATGATGCGTTAGGTGTTTTCTGTGACCTATCTAAGGCATTTGATTGTGTTTTTCATGAAACATTGATTAGGAAACTGCATTTTTATGGATTTAGAGATAACTCATTGGATTTTATTGTCTCATACTTGACTAACAGAGTACAGAGGGTTGATATCAATGGCAAAAGATCCCCTTGATCGAAAATTAAGATGGGCGTTCCGCAGGGCTCAATACTTGATCCTTTCTTGTTTTTGATATACATAAATGACTTGCCTTATTTCGTAAGGGATGATCACGAAATAGTTTTGTTTGCGGATGACACTTCACTCTTGTTTAAAATTAAAAGAGGGTTACCTCTAAATGACGATGTGAACAATTCTATCGCTAAAGTAGTACATTGGTTTAATGTAAATAATCTTCTCCTTAATGAAGGAAAAACAAAATGCTTAAAATTTGTACTACCTAATGTTAAAAAAGTAGATATAAATGTTAATATAAAAGATAAGAACATGGGCCTTGTGGATACCACAGTATTTTTAGGAATAACATTAGATTCTAAACTACAGTGGGGCCCACATATTGATAGATTGTCGAGTAGACTTAGCTCTGCAGCATATGCCGTAATGAAGATACGTAGGTTAACTGACACAGATACTGCCAGATTAGTATACTTCAGTTACTTTCATAGTGTTATGTCGTACGGTATCCTATTGTGGGGAAATGCTGCCGACATACAAACAATTTTTGTGCTTCAGAAAAGAGCAATTCGATCAATTTATAATATTAGGATTAGGGACTCTTTATGGGAGAAATTTAAGGAAATAGACATTATGACTGTTGCTTCTCAATACATATACGAGAACTTAATGTACGTTCGTAAAAATATTAGTTTGTTTTCTATAAAAAGTGATGTACACAATTTTAATACAAGAAATAAAAATAAATTAACGGTGCCTGTCACTAGACTGCAAAAAGTTAATAACTCTTTCAAGGGTCTTTGTGTGCGCTTCTACAATAAGGTCCCAAACAAAATACAACAATTAGATATCATGCAGTTTAAATCTACTATTAAAAAAATACTTATTAAAAAAGCTTATTATAAGGTATCCGATTATATAACAGATAAGAACGCTTGGACTTGAGATAATCCAGCAACTGGATAGGTGATTATTTCTAAACTCATTATCTTGTTTCCATTATTATTAAATGACTATGTTATTATTATAAGACCATAGTTTTTTTTTTATCTCTGTTTATAATGTATTGATCTGGTAATGACATGGTTTTTGTAAATGTCATTACTCTTATTAGAGCTGGTGAGTTTCTTGCTCGTTCTTCTTATCAGCCAAAAGACGTCCTGAACGAGTGGTAGGGAAAAAATGTTGGACGATTCAAAAGTGCTTTGAAGAAGTCTATTTGAATTAAGATTATTTTGACTTTGACTTTGACTATAAAGGTATAAGAGAGATGTAGGGTTGTCACTACTTTGATTAAATATTGTGTTTTACATCATTGTTGTAGATAGTCGTCCATAAATTTATTCACTACATGCCTAAGTAGGACCTAACGAAACACCATAATCTGCACATTTTAACATTAACAACAATAGAAGAATTAATTAGATTCGACTCTCGTTTAAGTGGAAGGATTTTCTTCAATACAATATATGTACCCAAATATGTATTTTGATTGTACTTTATGTTCCTAGTAGAAATCAACCCTGCGATAAGTAAAAAAAAATACTCTCCCTGCTAAAGAACAAAGAAAGAATATCTTAATTAAGAACATACTTATCTTATTAACTCTTGTTATCTCATTCAAGAAATATGGTGAACTGGAGCTTAGTTGGTGCAATGTTCCTACCCAACGTCGGAGGTTGGATGAGTACACTGACCATGATAGGACAAGTTAAAAAGCAAGAAGGCAATGCATGGTACCAGGTCATAAAAAAACCATCATGGACACCACCAAACTGGGTATTTGGACCTGCGTGGACGGTTTTGTACACTTCAATGGGAGCTGCATCATACATGGTGTACAGAGATTGCGGCGGGTTTACTGGTAAGTGATGGATGTTGAAAACCAAGCGATTGGACTGCACAAAATTATCGCAGAAGTCCGGTTCGCAAGCAGTTGATATTCTGCGCTAAAAATTCGTGTCGCAAATGCCAGCCCCGGATCTACGATTATTTACAATTAATAAACATATATTTAGTATAGCATTGTGATTGCAAAATTGATCAAATATAATAATATATAATTAATTCCATCCTGGCAAATGCAGATTCATAGTATTTTTGTGTTTTGGTACATAATTTTCCCGGCAGTCCTACAATAAATTGTAACGCATAAAAGTATACTATGTAAGGTAAAGTCACCAGTCACGACAGTTTAAACAAATATTTCCATCCATTCATGATTATGAATTTTTCAATACACATTCTTTTGGATTTGAAGGTAAATGAAAAGTTCTTTCCTCAATTAGTAGAAAATTAAGATAATGTTATAAAACTCCTTAGCTGACAATTGAATTTTTTTGGTTAAAATATAATAAACTTCAATTTAACAAAAATAAATTAATAGTTCCAAATAAACATAAATTATTTTATTTAAATAACAAAATAGAATTCTTTAAACATTGTAAAATTTTACCAACTATTGATATGATCAATTACACGACAAAATCGAACAAACTGTATTCACACGTGCAATTGAACAAAACCGGCTTCGCACAAGCCGAGCTGCGAACGCCTACGGTAAGAGGAACATTTACTTCATTCTACCTCGCTTGATAAATAAAAAAATATTTTCTTTCTAAGAATAGTACAATAATCAAGTGTTTGCTTAGTTGTCAAAAAATATTAAATTTTAATCTATTTAATGTATACCTAACTAGTCTAGCCATAAATTTTGTTACTGGCTGTTTACATACATTTAAAAAAACATTAATTTGAATTTCGAACATTAGCTTCAACGATAAATAATAGACTTCTTTCCCGCTATTATTGTATATTTTAAATGTTACAGAATCAGCAGTTCTACCATTGTCACTTTACGGAGGGCAGCTCGTTATGAACTGGATGTGGACGCCTTTGTTCTTCGGATACCATAGAATTGGCTTGGTATTACTCATTTCAATTTATAACTAGCTTTCCGTCAGCCTTAATATAAACCTTCATTTTAAAATCCCTTTAAAACCCTATTAAAATCCGTTGTGTAGTATAAAAGATCTCGGTGTACAGACAGCAAATGTATACATACACACACACTATGCATAGATGTTCTATCATATTTTACTTTTGACTACCTACATATTCCATCCCACTTTGTTATTTAAAGTTTAATAAACTAGTAGCTTTAGTGACAGGATAAAAAATAGTTTACTTTCATCCCGGGATTAAAAACGTACCTTTCAAGTGGTACTTTAAAGAATTTTGCCGCATTTCAGATGAGATATACTCGTAACCAATCGTATCAGTAATAGTAATCGTTTATTTGCTATTAAATGAGGTATAATAAAAGAAGGAAAGACAATTATAGTTCAGCTCACTTAGCTATTACACTAACATGCAAATATCGTATTAATTATTTTAATTTAATCATTAAATTTAAATACAGGTAATTAAAATCATTATTATTTAGGACTAAATCATTATTATAACCATTAAAAAATGACAGAAAATAAAAACTAAGTCATTATCATTACAACAAATTCAATTCAATTAGTAATACAGAAAAAAAGAAACAATGTCATGGAACATTCATTATCAGTGTTTTGTCAGCCAAATATTCATGGACCGATTAGTAACATTTATGCACTATATAAGAGTTTTAACAGGCTCTTTTTAAATAGATTGAGTGAAGCATCTTTCATATAGTTCGGCAACTCATTATAAATTCTAACAGCTATCGGATAACAGCTGTTGCTTTGCATTGTTGTAAACATACTGGGTAACACTAGTCGTTCAGGATATCGTCCCCTGTACTCATTGTTCACGTCACAGTTTCGTTTAAAGAGTTTGTTGTTAACTCTTACAAAGCAACATACTTCATAGATATAAAATACATGGCAATGTTAACAATCCTAAAGTCTGAAAATATGGTTTACAACTTATTTCTACAGATAATTTACATACGGAGCGTACACATTGTTTTTGAGCAATGAACGCCCTATCGATATCTACTGAATTACCCCAGATTATGACTCCATATCTTAGAATAGAAGCCACATATCCATGGTATTTCAGCATTTCTAGTTCCATATTTCTTATTCAATCATTCTTTATTAACTTTCAGTAGTGCCTTTATTGTCTAATGAGCACGATATATAGGTACCACATAATTAAATAAATGGTCAATGACCGCAGGCGCTAGTCCACATGTTGGTGTTGGACGGCGCGGCGGTCGCGTGCGCGCGCAGCTTCGGCGCCGTCAACACGACAGCGGGCTGCCTGATGCTGCCGTACCTCGCGTGGCTCGCGTACGCAACCACACTCAACTACTCCATTTGGAAACTCAATAAAGACGACAAAAAGAATTAGGTTGACACTTGTATAAGGAGTACTTAATACAAACCACAATATATTAGAGCAGTGTAACTATCCACTATTCATAGTGCGAGATTTATCACAGACCTTGTAAGACTTTATTGGCGAAAATTAACAAAATATGAAAAGCGAGTGGATTTTTTTAATATTTTCCTATAAGACTTGATTTTTTTAAGAGTTGATTTTTTTAAGATTTTCCTATAATCAATATAACATCCTGAAAGAAAATTAAAGATAAAAATAGAATAAAAAGCTTTACTAGTAGTAAGTGCTTCAAACTTTAACGACACGCTACTGTCTTTAATCCAAAAATATATATTAATTAAGAGAAAACAATAAAAAGGCGAAAAATATTTTAACTTTATTTTATTTTTCTCACATTCAGTCCGGCCGGAGTGAAATATTACTGTTTTACTTTAATACAATCCTACCTGTAGTGCCTATATGAAGTATACAATGATACAATCAAAACATACAGCATTTTAGACATCAGTAAAGAAATCATAATTATTTAAGAAAATGTTACTTAGATACATTAGAATGTGAAATATTAGCCATGATCGTCTGCAATATGAAGATGAACTGCCAGTACACTACGTGACACTACTCTCTAAAGCGCCAGTTACGTCTGGCAAACGTATAATCAAAAGGACTGGGCCAGTTACTAATTATATAAGGCGCTCCCTAAGACGAACAATTAATTATATTGCGCAATATTGTGGATTGTGCATTATAATTAATCATCTAGGGCTAATATTGAAGATTACGCAATGATCGAACAAAAGTTTCGAGGGAGCTGAATTTGTATTGTGCCTTATTATTTCATTGCATCGTGTAGGGTCAGTACTGCGCAATAATTTTTATTCTGTGTTTGTTTTGACGAGGAGAACACGTGCTCTTGAAATTGTACTAAGTCCACTTGTATAAAGTTTCTGAAGTTTCACCTTCCTCAGTTAACATCGAGTCTTTACAATATATATGACATTATTTCTGTATTTTAATTACTATAATATTTTATTTGACACTATGCAATGGTAATAATAATTTTACCTAAAAACATTGCCCTATTGATATTGCTAAAAACATTGCCCTATTTGTGCTATTGCGCCATTCAATATTATTGATCAATAAATATACTAGACAATGTTAATAGGTCTAGGGGCCGCCTAAAAAAGATTTGGGCGTTATGGGATGATCTATATGTAACTGTCGCTTTAAAAATCTCTAAGGTGTCGTTCGTTTAAGGGTATTAAAGAGCAAATCTGAATTTCCGAAACGGCTCCAACGATTTTCATAACATTCACTGCGCAGCTAGGTTTCATTCATCAAAAACAATTGTAAAACTGTTATATTTTATACTGTTGTGGATAAAAGTTACCCAAAAGATTGTTACATTACTTTAATTAAATAAAACCGACAACCCTTCCAGTCAATTTTTATTTATTACTTATAAATAAGAACCTATGCCGAATATATAGGAAAAGTGATTATTTTCAAATTTACAAATACTTTGACGTAATACAAACATAATAAAGTACCTTATAAAGGGTTATGTCAGACTGCAATTTAGGTCATTACCCTAATTCAACCAACCTTTTTTATATTATTTAGAAGTGAAAAAAATCATGAAATTACTAAAATAAAAACCTTCAATAGCGTCATAATAATTTTGGCATTTCTTATCCCATATGCTCTATAAATTAAGAGTGATTAACTGTCAAAAATACCTTTATGTTTAATCTAATATTCGACTGTAATTGCATTGCAAAATAGATTATAGAATACTCGTGTCATACATGTACATACTCTTGTACTATGTCGACTGATTGGTAAGATAATTAATTTACAACTATCCTAATATCTAAAAATTAGTAACTCTCCTTATCAAACGAAGAATTTTTAAATGCAATACACAAAACGCAGTTAGTTTTCTGTTAGGTACTTATACCTAAGATTATTCAATAATCAAATCTTAACTTCTTTCTATATTTAATTGCTGCCTATTCGTAACATTAATCAACTCTAATTGATATCACAGCAATTTTCTTTTTACTAATAATAGTATTTTAGTTTTTCGTATTTTGCACACAATATTCAATTGCATAGATAATAAGTTTTTCGTGCGGACTGATTATATAAATATAATACGTAGGTATTTGTTTGATATTCATTATAATTACCGTATGGTCATCACAAATAGAAATAGAAACAGATGCCATCGAATTAAAAAAAAAAACGCAACTAACGTACAACAAAACACATTCGAAGCAAACATTTTTCCATCAGTCCGCACATACCAGAATCAAAACGGAGAGAATTCGATTCCAACCGTCCAGTCAATTGACTTTTCAAAATAAAAAACTTATCCGATTCAATACAAACATGACATATTATTGGCCAAATACTGTAAAGCGTCACAACGCCGCGGTGCAAACCACCAAAATTGGTATGACATCTTTAGTCACCGTTCAAGCATCTACATTATGTCCAATGATAGTTTATGTTTCCGTTGCCGTCAGCTGCCGTCCAGTTTGCAACAATAACGACAGGATGGGTGCTCCGGTCCCGCTTTACTCGTCGATGAAATGCGACTTGAGATACTTCATCATGCCGAATATGCGGAATCTCTTGGTGCCGATCACTTTGTAGAGTCCCTCGTCGCATATCGCGAACTGTTTGTTGTTCGGGTCGTAGAGCTGCTTCTCCTTGATGAGCGCCCACATGCGCTTGACGACCTCGTGTCGCGGCATCTCATCCGCCCCCATAAGGGCGGACAGGGACGGCGATAGTTTGTACGCGCGCGTGTAGCCGCTGCCCTTGCCGCGCCCGCCGCCCTGCACACAACAATTATGTTCACATATAATAATAATGTCTCAACTGTCGTAAATTAATCAATATTAGATAACTAATCAATCTTACCTTAGCTCCTTTTTTAGCCTTTGGCTTCGATTTCTTTTCCTGAAATAACAGAGAGCATAATTAAAAATGTGGTCAATTCATTTTTCTTTAATAACCTATTAAACTTTGGTATAATACGAACTGAAAAATAACAAGGTAAAAAAATGAACGAATATTCTAGCTAGAATTTTATTCCCAAAGTGTGATAGACATATAATTCATATTGGGTTGCTTATCCTTTTACCTTATATTCGATCCAATAAAATAGATAGTACTTTCGTTTGATAGTTACAATAAAGCCAACTCACCTCGAACTCGCTATCGTTGCCGTCGTTGTCGTCTTCATCTTCATCTGAGGAACCTTTATAGTTGCGACGCTGTAACATAAACATACGAGTGAACAATAAACATTTCATCACTTACCTGACAGTGAGAGAACCTCCACAGAAATAAAAACTACATTCAACTGGTAATAGTTTCGGTAGTGAAAAATAAACAACGAAATTGCATAAAAACGAAAAATAAATAACGAGTCTAAATTTCAGTCTTAAAATCGCATGATTATTTATTTCATTCTTTATTGTATTTAAAAAACGCAAATAGTGGACTTAGGTAATACCAAATGCACTCTCTACCAGTCTGACCAGAAAAAGATGTTGGAGGTTTAATGTTAGGCGATAAGAATAAAAACAGTAGCCATAAATATTATTACACTTAAACAAAAAAACAAAATTAAAAAATCTGAGTATCACGTAACTTGAAACATGACCCGTGTGTGAAGTCGCTCTGGCGACAAATCAAATTCCTAGATGACGCTGTTATTAACTTATTTATAGCTTTTTATTTCAAAATCAACCGCTAGACGGCACTGTTCTTGTTTTATTGAAATATTTTAATCTACCAATCTCTGCATCTGTTTTGCGTACATATCGGAATAATGTCATGAATATGGCATTACGGGAATCTAAAACAACAAAGGTCTTGTCAATGAACATTTCTACAGACCCGAAACAAATTAGAAAAGTTAATTTTACACGTTGACCCGGTGGGGAACCGAAATCGGATCTCGGAGACACTCATAAAAGACTGACAGCCTGGAAATTGCAATCCATTCATTTTTGCATTTTTGGCACACCATAAGTTCCGCCACAGCTACTTTTAAGCTAGTACTCTTGCCACCGTATTGTTAGAAGCAAGATATGCAAATATATCATCAACATCAGTCTAATAATGTCTGTAAGGGCACAGGCCTCCCTATGGACGGAAACGAATTGAACCCAATGCGGAATAATGGGTATTAACGATTGCAGGTGCGGCCGGGACTATTGCCTACATACTTAGTTAAGTACTTACAGAATCTGCTTTACGCGGCTTCTTTGCGCGCTTATTTGTCTTGGCCGCCCTCTTGGGAGGCTTCTTTTTCTCTTCTTCTTCCTCTTCTTCCTGAACAATTAAATAAGCGACCGATGTTTTTTATGTATGTCTAATGTTATCTTATATTTTTGTTGTGTGTGCTGACAATAAAATATATTTCTTTCTTTCATAAAGAAAACTAAATACCAAACAACAAGAGATAATTTTAGGACGAAGTTATATACCCCAGCACAAGAACAAATATGGAATGTGACTTCTGAATCATAATATCGGCGGTTTGGATAATTAAATTATTAATGAAGTGTGAATAAAAATTAAAAAAATAAAGTAGGGTTTTATAAGTTTTCGAAGAACATAAAACTTAGAAAAATCAGAAAAAGTACGGTTTACGTTACTGACCTCGTCCTCGTCTTCATCTTCATCGTCATCAGATACCTGCGAGTTGACGAAGTCGAGCACCATCTTGTCTATACTCTCCTTTTTACTCGTCAAATCCGTATCGAACACTTCCTCCAACTTCTGTATCACCTTCTTGGTGGAAGTTTTCGATAGATCCGCTTTCTTTAAGATCTCTGCGAAAGGTATTATCGGTGTAAATAACGACAATAGAGTATTTGGCTAATTTTGAAAAATCAATAAAAATCAAAGACAAAATTTCCAAAACCGCGCGAAATACGCCGCCTATGACGTCACACGCTAGTAAACAAACATAAGTAATCATACCAAAAACGTCAAAAGGAAGCTATATTTACTAGTGTGTGATGTCATCGGAGTTGCTACCACAAACAAGGCGTTTTCGTCTCTCGATAAAATGTTAAAAATATTTAATTTTATTATGTGTAATCCGCATTAATTATACATTATATCGTTTAAAATAAAGTGAAATATGTGTTATTACGCTATTATGAAAATATCTTTATTCGAGTAAGCTTGTTACAAGCACTATTAAATCGTCCAAAAAAATTTTTTTTCCCCTACCTCTTGTTCAGGACGTCTTTTAGCTGACAAGAAGAACAAGCGAAAGAAACTTACCAGCTCTTTATCATAAGTAATAATAACATTTACAAAATCATGTCATTACCAAAATAATATGTATTATCACAATAATAAACACAACTTTATTATGGTCATCACATAGGTTGACCATAATTTTTAATATATTTTAATGTTGTCAAATGCCTTATTGTTATTGTACTAATGCATATATTAATGTAGAGCTTATGTATATGCAGTGGTTCCTAACCTTTTTAAACTGTGGTCTGTTATAACCTAGGAAAACTAATTTTACCCACCATCCAAACCCTGGCGCAGTGTCACGCTAGAAGCCAAGCTATTATTATCCCTTAAAGCACGTGTTCAGGCATGCACCACATTCAGATAATATTATTATTCTTTTATTGATTTGGTTTTAATTGATTAAAAGGTTCCTTATTATCCCCATAGCGTAGCTGTACAGGGGTATTTATTTATTTATTTTTATTTGGTCTTGTTTTTTTGACCACCAACATACTAACTAGACAAGACTAGGCTAAAGTTCGTGTTTTTATATTAGACTAACTTTTACCCGCAATCTCATCCGTTCAGTTTCGTTTCAAAGTCAGTTTCGTCCCCTAGTTCAACTCTAGCCATCTCAACAACCAAATAGGTAACGTCTGTCCTTTCTCAAGATTATTACTATTCGTACTTTATATGGCTTTTGTGTCACTGACTTAAGCAGCGATTAGACTACCCTAATGCATGTATTATAGGAATTTAGGATTCTATTTTTTAACCAAGAAAAATGAGTTATGCGCTCTCCCTGCCGCCTGACGGGACAGCAGACTTGGAAGAAAACCGTCTCAGGCACTAGGCAGGCTCGAATCGTCGATTCCGTGTCATATCTACTTTAAGTTTACACCCCCGTTTCGTTATAATTAACATTCCTATCCATCCAATGGTTGTCTGGCAGAAATCGCTTTCAGCGATAAGACCGCCATTTGTTACACTTTGATGTATTGTTTAGTTTGTAAAATCTGTGAAGATATCTGTTGTGTTGACAATAAAGTGTTATTATTATTATTATTATCTAGGGACGGGATACTAAGATTTTTCAAAACCTCCGTTTGTCACTAAGTAAACCTCATAAGTAGTGAGGTACCTAAATTTTTACTTATTATTTATTTGTGTTTACATGTACTTGATCACTTAAAATTAAGTTAAAACGTTAAATTAAACTGGATTGTGTAATAGAACCGACTTCAAACTTTAAAAAAGTGAGAAATAATACTTGAGATAAGTATTATTTAAAAGCGACTTATTCAAAAAATGCTATTAAAGTCGGGTGGAGGTGTTCTGTAGGTTATTAATTAATTTATAGACGCCCGACTTCAATAGCATTTTCTTGAATAAAATGCTTTTGAGATAAATCGGTACTGTTTTTAAAAAAGTTTTTATTTAAAGGCTTTTTAATGATATTGATATTTTTAAATAAAATCTGTTCAGCCAAATATGAGATAATCGTGGATAAACATACATACAGGTCAAACTGAGAACCTCCTTTTTTGAAGTAGGTTAATAACAGGCAGTGACAGAGAGAAGATTAGCAACGCTTCGTCTATGTCTTAGTAGTTTTGTAGGATGTCCATACATTTTTAATAATTTTATAAATAATATTCAATTAGGTAACATTTCTGCTTGTAATAAGAATACCTTCTCGAGATAAAACTTATTTGCCGACAATATAAAAATTAATTACTGGAATATGCACAAACAATATTTGACGTACACATTGTTAATTTTAAGTTTACGTCAATCGATATCAATAAAAAATAGACGGGGACGTAGTGAAACTAACTAACGTAAGTGGAGGCAAGAGGTCAACATTTTCGAGCAAAACTAATGGCGGACGACTGAAGTAAGAATGCGAAAAACTATCTAACTTACTTTCAATTATTAAAACTGTTTCCTGCTAACATTCTAGTATTGGAGATCCGTCGTGATTGGATGAATGCAAGCTATCGAATTATTTTTTATTTTCATTGTCTTACAATTCTATGTATAAAAAAAAAACAATTTCCTTTTAATTCCCCCCAAAAATCCCTCCGTAAAATTTCATCCCCCAAATTTCCTTCCACAGTTTCGGAAACTCCCAAATTTAAGAGGAATTTGCCCAATCTGGCAACAGTGCATCAATCGGCCATTTATTTTTATATTGCCACTTATAAATAACGAAAAACTACTAATACAACATCGGTTTACATTATAATTTCAATCTATTCGCACTTTTACTTATAAAATATATCAACCGTGTGTCTTCAATATATATACTATAAGAAAATAATTAAAATTATCTAGTTGTCTTTCAAAAAACTAATGAAACTTCCTTAATGCCAATAATGATTATTTAATTTTCCAATGGCAGACCGTTCCACTCTGAAATATGCCATGGAAAATTAAGCATTAAATTGTAACAAAGAGTAAGTTCGATTAATCGAAATATATCAGTACGCTATCCAGTTTAATTTGACGTTCCTGATCTATATTAATACTCAGATCAAATTATTCTGTGCCAACATTGCCGTTTTTTTTATGTAAACCAAAAACAGTAATATTTTTTTGCTCATTGCTAAAATATCAAAAATCAGTAGATTTGAATAGATAATACTTTTTGTTTTTGGCAGCTCATATACTTTATTTTAATTTGGATTGGCAACACTGTCAGGCATGTAATGCGTGCACCGGAACGTAAATATTAATGGCGGCTTGCCGAAATTGACAAAACAACAATCCTATCAAGAAAATTAATAACAATAATAAAAACATGTATTTTTAAAAAAAACGTGCTATATGAAATCTATTTGTAATAACATTGCGGTTTTTTCAAGATTTAGTATTAGAACAAATTATCCGCCATTACATCAATTCATACGTGGAGGTCTTACGCGTTGCATAAAAATAAACCACCAGTGACCACGCTAAACAAAGCTTTTAAAAATCGAAATTAGATTAAAATTTTACACGGACAATATTTTCGAACAACTTTCACTTGAAACATTTTGGTATTTATATCATACTGTCAGAGATATTTCAATTTAAAGTTACGAAAAATCGAAGTTGTATTAGACATTTGCATAGGAAGCCATTACACGTTCTCAAGCTTATGGAAACTTGTATTAAATTAATAGTAAATTTCTAACTTTTAAATTAATGACGGGCGTAAATAAATTTAAAGGTGAAGGTCTTCACTTACTTTCGATTTCTTTATGAAGTTCTTCATCAGTGACCTGTGGCATTTTTAAGCAAGTAGAATTCGTACGCCTGCAATCACAAGGAGAAACGGCCACACAATTATATACCTACGCGTTATGTGCTACACGGCGTCACTACGAAAACTACCGAACGATATTTCGAAGTCGCTCGGGAAGATTCGTTTTGCGACAAAATAGTACTCGGATCACAATCGTAACCATAATATTATAGTATCGTGTATTGGGGAGTAAATATTTCAATGCAAAGGAGCTTTTATGACATTGATATAAGGCTGAAAATCTGAGTTTATACAGAGAATGAATATTTACAAAGTATGTTAGTTAATATTTTGAAATATTTGTTTTTGGCATGTTTTTAGCAATCAATTTGATTAAACTTGCTAAAAATGCACATTAAATAAAAATTAATATATTAAAAACTTCTAGTAATTTTTTAAATGCTTATTTTGTACTTATTATGTAAATTTCTTTATTTTGATATTATTTATTTTTATTGTTATGTAAATGTTGGACGATTCTTTTTCTCAATTGGGAATTATTTGAAAAAAAAACATTGGTTCCTGAAATCAAACTAGATTTCTCCATGACAACTCTTGCGATTTTCTTTCATGTTTAATACTAAATTAGTTTTCAAAACTCAATAAACAACTCATAATACTATTTGTACTTTTTTGTATTTGTAATGATATCTAAGTATCGACCTTTGCAAATTTCAGTTTTTTAGTATGTTAGTTAGCGTTTCCTGCAAAGTCAACTTTTGCTAGAGTTGCCATCTAGTGGAGATGCTTTTTAGTATTTCTTTTTTTTAAATACTTCCTCATTATGTATTTAAAATAAATAAATATTTATTATTTGATGTTTTTTTTAGGCTCTTGCTGAAATAATAAATCAAATTAGTATTTATTAGGTGGAGACGCTAAAGCACAATTTTGTGTTTGATTTTATTATTTTTATATAAACTAACTTCATAAATGCAATAATTATGTCAAAGCCATATGCGGTGTGTGTCCTACGTCAATGTCAAAAATATAACCTACATAAATCCCATGTTTGATTGTGCGTACAATTCCTTTACGTGATTTTCGAGAGTTACGATTTGATATTATTAAAATACAATGGTAAAGAATAAACGCAATGCTGGTCTTGCTGATAGAGTTAACCTTAAGAGGAAAACAGAAGGTGTTAATAAAAAGTTAAACCCCTTTGAAGTGCATATAAATAAGGAAAAAATTAAGATCTTAGGTAGAAAATCTAAACATGACCGTGGATTACCTGGTGTTTCTCGTGCTAAAGCTATTCAAAAGGTTTAAAATTGGATTTTTTATTCACAATAAAATACTTTCACTTTTTATACTGTATAACAATCAACACGCCTACATTAAAAAAGTGACATTATTATCAAAATTTGTTCAGTAATTAAATTATATTAGTTACATATAACTAACGCATTTAGTAATTTCCACAGAGAAAAGAAACGTTAGGCAAAGAAATGAAACTGATGAACAAATCGAATGCATTCATTGACAAGCGTATTGGTGAGAATAACAACCAACTCTCCGCCGAGGAACGTATAATCGCACGATACGCAGCTGAGAGAGCTGGGCCGCAAAGTAAAAAAAATATTTACAACCTCGCAGATGATGAGATATGGACCCACAGGTATTTACAATTCTATCAGATCATTTGGAGTGTGGTTGAAATAGAATAAAACCCTATATTAAACATAGGTGCAAAAGCCAGCTGCGGGCCGCATCCAGCCAACGAGACATTTGAAAAACCTAATTTATAGTAACATTGTCATATTATTTCATTCCAAAATGCATTCCAATTCTATTCCAAAATGAGCACTAAAACTACTTTAAAATGTACTCCTTTTAAATGCAGCCAGTGAACGTATTTTCACACTAAAGTTTGGCCCACAACAAGTTTGTTTTATTTTTGGATAGTATGTGTGTAAATATAAGAAATCAATATGTAAAACCCTACTATGTTAAAGTAGCATGCATAAAAAAATATACTCCAATGAAGAACTAAAAAAAAATATCAAAAAGAAAAAATTAGAAGTAAACAACTTGAAGCTTGTTTCATGGAGCTTTTGCATGAAAAAAAAGAGAGAGCAATATAACAGACATGTTGACTAATAATATAAAAAAGTCCATCTAGCTCTAACTTGCCTACTGGCCATACACTTTAGACCCTGGAGCCCAACCTCATAAATAATTTGGCTCTAATTTGTTTGACATTAAATTCAATCAAAATGAACTCAACATACAACACCATATTGCGTATGTTTAAAAGAATGAAATTTACTTATATTTCAATAAGGTATTGAATGTTGAGTGCATTGTAGGCCCTCTCATTAATAATCGAATTGTAAAATATTGTGTACACATCTTTTACGTTCATGAATATCTGTAGAGGTCAAACACTGGAACAAATTGAGAAATTCGATGATCCACGATCATCGGATGAAGAAGATGAAGATGGGAAAAAATTTGGAGGCTTGGATGGTAAGAGTGATTTTGGTTCTAGTAAAGTAATTTGTTAAAACTGTTCTTATTGGCTTACAAAATATATCTAAAACTATCTTTTTGCAGATGATTTTGTATCAGAGGGCCATTTTGGTGGAGGCACTCTCCCTAAAACTGAATTCAAAGATGGTACAAAATCACACAAAGACCTTGTTGAACAGCTCATAGCAGAATCAAAGAAGAGGAAAGCTGAAAAACAGGAGGAAAAAGAGAAAATTCTAGATTTGACAGAGAAGTTGGATAGTGAATGGAAAGACCTTCAGCCTGTTGTTTTTAAAAAAGCTAGGGTGGAAGAAAAAAAGGAATCTATCATTGACAAATTATTGAGTCAGGCGGAGAAAAAGAATGAAGATTATGATAAGATGATGAGGGAGCTGAAGTTTGAAAAACGGGGCACAGTAAGTTCTTTTTTAATACAAACTCTATAAATTTTTCATATTGACCTCTTCCATGATTCATTAGATGAGAAATTTAAATTATATTTATGTTTTTAGCCTTCTGATGGATTGAAGAGTTCAGAGAAAGAAGCTAAAGAAGAGAAAGAGAGATTAGAAAAATTAGAAAAAGAGAGAGATATGAGAATGTTAGATGATGGAGAAACACTTTTATCAAAATCAAAACCAAGTACACCAAAACATAGGTGAGTTACTGAGGAGATTGCCCATGGAAATATGAGGCTTCCTTTTTAAATTGTATGCATGACATAAACGAAATGTACAATATTTATTCATGTAATGTGTTATTGTCATTAATAATAAAAAGAAATGTCTTGGTTTAAGAAACACAGAAATTGGTATTGTATTGTACATATGATGAAAATGAAACAAGCCATATGCAGATATAAATCATGATGTATGCTTTTGCATATTTTATAAGTCTGCTACAAATAGATCTGTTAATTAATAGATTGCCTATATTTAGACAAACTTCCTAATTAATTGCATTTTTTGGATGAACTTGCGGGTTAATATTTTTTATAGTTCTTTAAAATTAAAATGCCATTTTTTAATATAAAATTTATTCTGTTATAAAACTTATTCTTTAGTTCAGTTCAGTGATATGAATTTATGTTCATATCTGTGCCTTTCCATAAAAACATAATCTAGGAGTTGACTTAGAAGCATTTCACCTTATACTTTTTTAGATCAGCTGATGATTTAGATGACAATTTTGAACTTGATGACGAGCAACAATTTATGCTAGCGTATGACAAAGATGGAAAACCATTGGTACCAGAAAAGGTATTGAAAGATTATTCTGGTAAGGAACTTTGACATATTTTATAGCAACTGAAGAAGATAATATACATTTATTCAACAATTTTTTTTTTTAATCTGAAACAAAATTCAGTTACTACCGTAATACAATTTGTGTTTTTTTATTGCAGTTCCAAATGCCAAGCCCAAATTCAATGATGGCATCTCTGATACTTCATCTGATGACGAAGCAAGCAATAGTGACCAAGATGATGAAGAAAATGATAATGATGGTGAAGACTCAAGGGAAGTAGATATGGAGCAAAAAAAAGAAAGTAGCGATGAATCAGAAACAAATAGTGAAGGAAGCACAAATGAAAAAGAAAAAGTTAAATCAAAATTCGACAAAGATTTAGAAAGTCAATATCAGAAGTATAAGAATGATATGGAAAACAAAATTTCTGAAAGGCTAGACAGTGATATAAAACAAAATAATCAACAACGATCAGATGACAAAACAAATGATAAAGTATGTAGTTCAGATGATTCTGAAAATGATGAAGATGACGATGGGGAAAGTATTAAATCGGTGAATAATGATGATACCGACGACTTCAAAGATCTCAAAGAGTCTGAAGAAGAAAGTGATAATGACACAGATGAAGAAGTAGATAAACAAAAAATATCTTCATTCTTTGAATTCGAACTAGCTGAAGGCGATAATTTAAAGGTAACAATTTGTGAATAACGTCTTTGATTTGATCAAGATTTGTAATTATGATTTGTAAATAAATTAGATTAAAGTAATATATTTACTATTTAACTTTAACATAATCATTCGTTACTTTATGGTTTATTTATTAATAACTTATATTATTTCATTATAATTTAAAATTCACAGGAATTGTTAACAGGAAAAACTCCATCACAACAATCAGCTGCTCTTCAAAGGTTAATTAAAAGTTACGATCCAGGTTTAGCCGAAAACAATAAAGAATTACTCAGTAGACTATTCGCTCACATGCTTCAGTACATCAACGACATATTCACTGACTTAAAAGATGAAGGAGAAATTATAAAAGCATTTCTTATTTTTGACAAACTCGCCCCTTATTTTTATGACCTAGCACAAACAAATAAAGTGTCCACAAAGAAATATATTGTGGAATTATTAAAGGAAAAACATAATATTTATGTAAAGAGAAAAAAGAGGGTACCAGATTTGGACACTTTGATTTTCTTCAAATTGGTATCACTTCTGTACCCGACGTCCGATTACCGACATCCGGTTACAACGCCATCTCTGATGTTCATGTCAGAAATCTTGGCGCATTGCAAGTTTAATTGTCCTTATTCAATATCGAGAGGATTGTTTATCACATCCCTCGTATTAGAATACACTGTTTTGTCAAAACGACTCGTACCGACTGCCGTAAATTTTATTAGAGGAATTTTGTATCTGTGTGCGAATGTAAGCATTTTAAATCCAATAGAAGTGGTCCCGCCTTTCCGTTTGCACAGAGACGCCAAGCTTCTGAATTTGGAAGAAGACTGCTCCAAAATGGAAGTGCTCAACAAAATGGCGGCGAAGGATTTAGCTTTAAACGAAATAGATAACGATTTTAAAATACGTTGTCTGAATACAAGTGTAGATATATTGAAAGAATTTTTTGATTATTTCAATGAATTAGAAGCCCAGAAATGTTTATTTGATCCCCATGTCGCCTTGATGGGTCGGATAGATTTAGATTTATATCCAAAGAAAGTAGCATCAAAGATAGCAGGTACTATCAAGTACATGAAAGAAATCTTCGAAGTTAAAACATTTACACCTCTTACAAGCGAAAAAAAGCAAATCAAAATGCTTAGACTCTATGAACCTGATATTAAAGAAGTGTAAGTACAGTTTATATTTATCAAACAGTCATACAAATATTTTATGGTTATTTGTTCCTTATAATTATATAAATATATAAATTAAATTAGATAAAATCACTGGATAAAATCAATGATTATTAATTACTTATTGGCCTAACTACATGTATATATGCTTAATGTTGACATTATGTTTTTCTCCACACAGTTTCACCAGCAGTAAAAGTTCCAAATCTTCAAGCGAAAATGCAGAGAGAGCTTGGTTGCAGACCAAATATAAGAAAGAGATGAAAGGAGCACTAAGAGAGATCAGAAGAGACAAGGCGTACATCGCATCTGTAAAGATAAAACAGAAGCTGCAAAGGTATTTTTTGTTATTTAAATTCTAAAGTCAATGGTAGTCGCCATATGTTATAATGTTATGACATGTATTACTTGTGAGTTGTGATCACTATTCTCGATGCTTTGAGTGAAATAGTAATTCTTAAGAAATTCATTAATAAGTAAACAGTGTAATAGTACAATATAATAAGGTAATTTTTCATATAACAACTTAATCGAATATGACTTGCCACTCTACTTTTTTTTATTAGAACTTTAAATTTTACTCAATAACCGTGTATGTAACGTAATCGTTCAGTAAATATATCTAGTGTTCTATATACCTGCAATGTATGTGCCACTTATCTAATGCATTTGAACGTATAAAACGAAAAAATACATAGTTCAATGTGAACGGGGTCTTAGGATTAAAATTTATTGTATGAAACTGGGCTTACACAACAACGGTTGCTGTCATTAAAACTTGTTTTTCTTTTCTTTTCTTTTAGTGACAAAGTGAGAAAGGATAAGGTGAAACAAATATACAAGGAGGCATCCATACAGCAAGGCGAATTGAACAAGTTAAAACGAATGAAATGATTTTATCACTTATTAGCGATGTAAATATGTGTGTCTCATAATAAATATGTGTAGCAGTGACAATAATTCTCTTTATTTTATGATATTTATATTCATAGTCCACGCCATTGATTAAGATTAAATATAGTTAGTCGATATTCATTTGGAATATAGCGGATTAAATTACATTTGTTCTTTATTTTTATTTAGTAATTTAACTGTTGATAACTTATTAAACAAAAATTTCTAATGAAAATTTTACTCAAGCGAGCACTTTAACTTGGTTGATAGGATTAATCTTGTTACTGGAATATCAACTCTTATAACATTTGTCTTACATAAAAATATTAATAATAACACGGTAGCAATGCCGTTTTTAGCAATCAGTCTTATATTAATGACCATGAAAATTTTAAAAATACATAGTCTTATTATTGGCCACTCACATCTTCATAGAATAACAATAATCCCATCCGGTGAGTAGCCTATGCAAAAGTTGCTTAAAGCGCTAATCACTGCGCCATCGAGTTCAAATTAATTATTAGTGATTAGGTTGCGCACACGTTGGTGATTTTTTTTTGTCTCTTGTCACCGTGCCTGAGCATCCTTGATGTGGCGCATACACTTGAACACGTCACGAATAATAAGTGACTTTCCATGCTTCTTTTATTAATGTCTTATCTGCTCGTTTCGAACAAATTTGCAAATGTCAAGTGATTAAATTAGTGAAAATAAATTTCTACATAAAAAATGAAATAATAATAATATATTCATAAATAACATTTGGTTAGTATTGTATTTAAAGTTATTGTTAGCGTATAATATGAAATGGATGAAAGGTGGCGATGAAATCCCGTCTTTCCATACAAATAACGAAATAACGGAGATAGAATAATGAAAAGAGTCTCCAGTGTGCGCGTACCCTAAGTACATAGTAACGATAGCAACTAATGCGTCACTATAGCAACTGAAATCTATTGATTCAATTTCTATTACAAATTCTTAACCCTCTAGCATAAAATGTCTAATCGATGACATTTATGACACTAAATGACATACCCTTGTATAAGTTTTTAGTTAATAAGACATTTTATAATAATTTATAACACGATGGCATGCAATGAAAATATAGTGAAGAATATAGCAAAAGAGATAACGAGAAATTGTCAGGCGCAAAATGTTATTGTGGACACGGAGTTCGTCATATATCTGGTGGAGCTGCTCCTGCTGAACCCCAAGTATGGGAAACTGTTCACGAAGACTATCAACAGGAATAATTTACAATTTTTCGTAGAAGAATGCGTGGACCTGTTGACGCGTAAGTTTTTTTTATATCTATAGGTTTATACCTATTATAAAGAGATTAGATTTGTTTTGGTGCATTGAATATGCCTTGAAACTGCTGGACAGATTTTGAAAGTATTTTTTTTTCAGCCAAATCATACGCGGTAAGATGGGCTGTAAGTAATTAATGAAGTCGCGGGAAAACAGTCCATAAGGTACCTGCATGAATTCATAAAATCTCTCACAACTGTGCCCAACTCAACTGTTTAGAAAGAGTAAAGAAGATAAACATAGAATTAGTAACCAGTCAGTGCCGAACCAGACGATCAGCCTAAATTAAACTATGGGGACGTAAAATAATTAACATAATGTGGTTAGATTTATTTAATCATTGTAGAAAATGGACTTGCATATCTATATTTTGTTGTGGTACCTTCGTTGTCTCAGATACTTCATAATACGAGAGCTTTAGTTGAGCTACTTATATTACGTTGCCTAAAATTAATTTTATAATTATTTATCTGGCCGTTAGGTGGCGACACGTCTCTCAACACGTTGAAGATGCAGTTCATCATGCAGACGAACTACGGTAAGCTGCAGAACCTGATCGACAAACACTCGGAGTCGATCAGCGCGTGCCTGCGGCCGCTGGTCGACGAGATCCTGGACGCGGAGCCGCCCGAGGGGGCCCACGCCGACTGCACGAAACTGTTCAGGAAGATCTCCATATACATCGTGCTGGCCAGCGGACTAGGGAACCCGGGAGTGATCACGGTACCCTTATTAATATTAGCTTACCGCTTGCGGCTTCGCCCGCGTGGTCCCAGGGAACTGTTTATTTGGATATCAAACACGGATATAATTATAATGAAAAATTAAACAGTAAACAATGTCAACGTTTTAATTCTCCATACAAACTTTCACTTACATTTTAAACTCTTTATTTGATGATTTTTTAGGTTAAAATATAGCCTTTATTCTCCGCATATGATGAAGCGTCCCGTAGGTTAAATAATTTTTTTAATCGGTTCAGAAGTTTCGGAGGCTATTCGATGCAAACAAACATAAAAACGATCAAATCTTTCCTTCTTATAATATTATTTTTATTAGACTAAGTATACTTACCGCGTTATAGGAGGTGCAAATTTGGTAGCTGAACTTTTCTAGAGATGCTCAAAATATAATGATGTCGATATTTATTTAATATTGAGCACAGAATATTATTTACTAGCTTTCGCCAGCGGCTTCGCCCGCGTGGACCCTAGGGAAATGTTTAGTAGGATAAAAAGTATCCTATTATCTAAGTCAGCTAACACCCTATCTGTATACCAAATTTTATCAAAATCCGTTCAGTAGTTTCGGCGTGATTAACCGACAAACAATGAAACTTTCACATTTATAATATTAATAGGATATATTTTATTCTTACCCATCTTTACTAGCTATTACTAGCTACTAAATTGCACGTCTTATAACGGACTTAATTATAACGATTACATAAAGTTAACAGAGAGCTTTTGTTAAATCAAAATTAACTAGAATATTATATGTTAACGCGTATAAATATCTGACACCGACCTCAAAAATAATTGTTGGAATAACCACTGTTTATGTTTCGATTTTATTGAATCCAAAAATTCTGAAGTATCTCTCTCTTATCAGTTGTTTCTCTTTACTACGATTTTTTCAAGTCTTTAATTCTTTTTTATTACTTTTGTCTTAAGGAGACTTCACCGTGACACATTTTTTATAACTCACTGTCAACAGCTGTGTTGCAAAATTATTGGATCCACCAATGAAGCTCTACAGAATAACTGATCTGTTAAAATGAAGATGTGAATTATCTATCAGTCTGACAGTACATTTCGACAGTTCAACGAAGGTATCTGTTACGCGGTAGAACAGCCAGCATCCTCGCTTTATCGCTTTCTTATGTCCAGACGCTAAAGGAAGGCATGGCGGCTTTAGAAAGCGTGTTCTCCCTGGACGATCTGAAGATGTTCGTGGCCTTGCCCAGGAACGAGAAGATGGAACAACTCGAGGAGCTGATGGAGATAGTATCCGGTGTCAGACTTTTCAATAGAGATTGTAAAAAGAGCGGCGAGGGTATACCGGACCGTGAGTATTTTTGTTCATAATTGACATTTATTTATTTATTTTAAGGACAGCTTACAAGACAATACACTGAAATTATTACAATAATAATATAGCATGCAAATAAGTGTTGCCTCAATTACAAGCTGCCACGGCATGTACAGTTACACAGGAGGAAATACGTGAGAGATGTTTAATAAGATTACACTTAGTTATTCTATCATTATAATAACAATTACTTATTTGTTGTAGCAGCAATCATGTTAGGTTTAAACAAGTTAAATTTGGAAAAAATATCAAATTCGTTATTTCTTTTCGCAGTGACATTATACTGATTCTGGCTTCTATTTAATGCCGAATAGTGTCCTAGATTGCTCTTAAAAGATTTAGGAGAAAACAATTTAAAATGCGAGGGTCTAACATGCTTACGTGGATATTAAAATTAATTTGATGTAAAAGAGCTGAGCAATCTAATGCACCGTAAACAATTTTATATAGAAATTATTGATCCAATAATCGTCTTCGGTCTTGTAGACTAGATACATTAAAGTATGATAATCGTTCTTTATAGGAATGTAACTCTATAGCCATATTATGTTGAAAAGCCAAATGCCATAAAAATCTTTTTTGTATCAATTCTATTCTTTTTATATGTACTTCGTAACGAGGAGACCACACCACACTACCATATTCCAAGGATGATCTAATTAATGCGTTAAATATAAGAATCTTGCTATTAGGAAGCTTAAAGTCTTTTGTATTTCTTATGACGAACCCAAGTATTTTAAAACATTTTTTGACAAGCTCGTCTAATGTGAGTATTAAACTTAAGTTTTTTTTATCAAAATAGATGCCCAGATCGCGAATCACAGTAACTTCCTACAATTCTTGGTTTTTAACTTTATATTTGTATGGGTTGTATGTTTGTTTGTGAGTAAAGCGAATATATTTACATTTGTTTATGTTCAATGTCATGTGATTACGATCACTCCAATCCACAAGTCTATTTAAGTCTTCCTGCAAGCACAAGCAGTCTGATGGGTAGCACGCATAGGGGGCGTTTAACTATTTTCAAATCGTCTGCATACAGATGAAACGAACAACTGTGTTTGAAGCATTGTGAGACGTCATTAATAAATAAGTTGAAAAACAACGGCCCAAGGTGAGAACCTTGGGGGACACACGACAAAATGTCATATGAGTTAGAGGACTGACCATTAATGACAACTTTGAACTTTCTGCCCACGAGGTACGAAGTACACCATTTTAGGAATTTTGGCAGTGAGCTATATTGCAGATACTGATAACGCTGAGATACTACTTTTACTTGCCATTTTGATATTAGTTTATATTTGAATTAATAATTTACAATAACTTGCTTTTGTGCAAGTTATTGTAAAACCCGCGTCTTGTTCAAGGAATAACCACATGTAACGCCAATCAACCAAACGTCAAACTCAGTGATATTTGACACTTCAACAGACAAAATACTTTCTTTTTTTCGATTTTGTCTATAAAATGCGGCGTTGCCGCTACGTGCATCGAACATAAGGGTGGAATACTTACGCCGATGATATACCAAGTTTATAAGTCAAAAGATATTCTTCCGTTATTATGAGCATTTACCGAGTATAACTATTCTTGGTATAACGATTTAATAACCGTAGTTTAATGAATTTTTATAAGTAAGGCTGTTAGAGTTTATCACTAACCCTTTCGAAAGCCCTGCTGAAGTTAGTATATATGACGTCAGCAGAGTCACGCGAATCAACCGCCATTACTAATCAAACACAAAGCTAACAAAATTGGTAGTAGTGGAATGAGAGCTAATAAAGCCGTGTTGTTGCGGCATAAACACCTGTTTAATATGCTCATATATTACTGGATATAATAAAGACTCAAAAACTTTAGCAAACGACGCAAGGATCGAAATCGGTCTGTAATTTCTAATGTCAGACTTGGAACCCTCTTTAAATATAGGTAATACCAAAGCCTCCTTCCAGACTGCAGGAAAACGGCCTGTAATGAGACTTGTGTTGTATATCATTGAAAGGGTAACGGTAATGAATTGGCACATTTTGATATAAAAATAGATGGAATCCCGTCAGAACCCGCGTCTTTGGTATAATCCAGTCTTTTTATAGCACGTTTAACCTCGTCCACTAATAAAAATATGTCACTCAATGTTGTGATGGCGTAGGGACAGACAAAAGAAGGCTGAGTTTGTTCATCATTGCCAGCTTTGCAGTGATCGAAAGCAATCTGCGAAAAGGTTACACACTTCAGTACTACTGGTCCCTGTTTTATTTTTACAAAACATTTCTGAAGAGTAAGTACTCTTACCAGTCTTCTTTTGCTTGATAAAAGACCAAAAAACTTTGGGAATAGTTTTGATTGAGGTTTCTATTAAAAGCACATATGTATGATTTATAACACAGCTTAATTAAATGAATAGATCTGATTCTTATATTTTTTAAATAGTAATCTATATTTATTTTTTTCTTTTAAAATACGTTTTAAATCTACTAAACCATAAAGGATTTTGTTTTGATGTATAACAATCTTAGGTACTTGCGCTATAATAACTTCGTGCAAAACCTTATAAAATACATCAATCATTTCATCCACATTTTTTGAATCTAAAAATTTGTTGCTCCATTCGGTTTTGTTCAAAATTTCAATTATACTATCATAATCGGCCTTAAAAAGGTTGTGTTAGGAAATTGATTCACGGGGCAACTTCGACGATAATATGTCACAAGAAAGTGTGAATTGCAATTGCGGATGATGTAAATCTATTTTGCTAAGAGGGGTCTCACAACTTTTCAAACCAGTTAACGAAACATTACAAAGAACCAGATCCAAAATTTTGTCGTAATGATTACTTATACAATTATATTGCTTTAAGTTACAATAGGATATGAAGTCCAAGAGTAAATCCTTTAATTTGCTGTTAGTTTGAGTAGCCAGTCAAGTATAATGAATCCGATGATTTCCATGTTATACCTCCCAAATTAAAGTCAAAGGTAGGTATACCCCGCACATCCTCAACTTTAGAGGTTTATTATTGACATTCGTAATTTTCATCAATTCGATATTTTCGTGGGACTTTGGTAGGGCAGTCACCCTGGTAGATTTGACGGGCGGCAGGAGGTGTGCTAGAATCTACATGCCCACTAACTCTAAAAAAGAGAGAGAGGGGCCCTCCGTGCACCCTCTGTCTTTTGGGGGAAAGGTATTTAATCCAGCAGGAAGTCGTCAGAACTCGTGGAAGTTTGCCGACTGGCGATCGCTAAAGATGTTTAAGAGGACCTTTCAGTATTACATATTAGTGTCGTGCAGTGCCATTCAACCTGGTGGACGCGGGCAAGGCGTGCCTGGGCTCGCTGTCCCACGCGCTGATGGCGGCGATGCAGCGCGTCAACGCGCTCACCAGCGCCGCGCACGGCCGCGTGGCCGCCGCCCGCGACACCGGCAACGTGCACGTCGACCCGCCGCCCGACACTGACCTCACCGTGTGCGTACCCTACATTACCGATCGCCAGTAGTAATCTAATTGCGGAATCTCGTCAGTTGTATGGCGACGTTTCGCATGTGCTTTGTCTCGCTATTATTAGCTCGATGTTGTAGTTTCACGGCTGTCGGCTGCGAAATACCAATGCATTCGCAAGCGTGCGTGCGCATTCGAATGCGTTGGATACTAGGTAATATTAACGGTAATATACTAGGTAATTTACGCATACGTAAGTTAAGTTTGAACAAGAATAGCATGAAAATTCAAGGACGGGCTTATTTACACCGCGACCCTCATTGCCGCGGGATCCTACTTAGCGGAATTGATAATCTGTATGGTTCATCGCATCAAATACTTTTTAGTAGGTACATACATATTCTATCCGATGATAACCGTATTTAAATCAGCCTGGCTACGCGGTAGACCTGATATAGATTCATACGAAGGGCTATAGTAGATATATTCTGTACCTATAGAAACTCAATGGTGGAGGAATTAATTCTCTGATGTTGAAAACATACTAAATGCACTACGAACGACCAATTTTTTAGTTGTCCAATAAATAAAAAAATCCTAACACTACTTATATGTGTTTATATTGTCTATATTTCTAATACTTATTCAGATATATCTAGTTACTCCTTCATCTTGCACCCTTCCCTTCTTTTTTATGTATATTTCTCTTTCGTCATGGGTTCCAGAAAGAGATTGTTATGTAGCAATTAGGCTGCCTTTGTGTATTCTTTTTTCTCGGTTCTTTGTAATATGTCATATGTGTAATATGTAGTGTGCAATAAAGAATATCACTGTAATTAAAAAAAAATTATATAGTTAGGTATATGTCATCTTCCAGGGACAATTACAAAGAAATATTCCAGTTGCTAGCCTTCAACCGCCAGTATGAACTGTTTATCCGCAAACTCCTGTCAGACGTGGAGACGATGGTCGACAATGCGGTCGCCTGCGTGGACCGCGCTAAAGCTGTTCTGGAGGAGTTGCACGCCGCCGTCAAATATAAAGCCGCTGTGCCGGTCGTTACTGTGTTTGTGAGTTTCATTATCTTTACGAAATAAATATCTACATTCGCATGTCAAAACTTACAAATACTCTGCGGTTTCACATTTTATTGTATTTTTAAATAATCTGTTCTTCACGGAAAATGTTTGAAAACAATTATAATGGACCACCTTCTTGTCTAATCTTCAATTGCATTCGTAATTTTATTTGTCTTTCAGCCTAATCTTTTAACTAGTTTAAAGCGACATTACCCACACAAATTTGACATTCATTAAAGCTTAAATGCGTCATTAAACCTTAATGGACGTTTGTGCAACTGACCGTAATACGCGAACTATTCCGTATTATTTTCAGATCAACTAGCATTTTTCCTAGAAAATTTATTCAGACTATAATCATATTACCATGATAATAATAGTATTGAACGTATGTTGTTCAGCCGCTGTTCGCTAGGCTGTGGCAAGTGTGGCGAGCGATGCAGAACATAATGTACTTGGTGTCGACAGTCAATCGTTTGATGTGTACACTCGCGGCTATACAAGATCAAATGAAGATACCGTACAATATCTTAGACGCGATGCTGAAGGGGAAACAGGTATGTTACCCTTACACGGTACAAGTTATTATAAGCGGATAATTTACCAATAATATAATTATTATAAAATATAGTTATTATGACATAGTTCGTTAGAAAAGGATTTTGTAAACCATGTCATCCACGCAGACAAAACGACAGGAGGAAAGCGATAAAGTTGTTAAATAAAATTGGAGATATAGTTGGGATAATACCTAGGTAGATTTAATACTCTAACACCCATTTAGGAAACGCCTAATATAACGAATCGCATCAACAGTTTTTTTTTTATTCCAAATAAATATTTTTTTATTCCTGGACATATTTATGACCTATCATATACGCAAATGCCTAGCGCAAAGCGCCGCATAACGAATATCATAATTTAAGACATTGCTTAATTTCGTTGGATGATTCCTAATCAATGGTGAAATGCATTTTTATCTTAGGCGATTCCTAAATATTTAAGCGACAGATTTGGGCGATTTCTAAATTTAGTGAAAACAGGCATAAGCCTATTATGTTAATAATATATTTTCGAAAGGATTATAACCGATCTAAAATAAATAAATCACATGTGTCTCTGATTACCTACTCTGTCGTTTAGGTTGTGACAGACCAGGACAGGATGACAGCGACGGTCAGTATGGAAGAGAGATTGTCGCTGGGATCTGTGAGGAACTACGTGGCGAATAACGAGAGTGCCGCGGTAGTGAAAGACACGCATGTTGAGGTAAACATGTGTGTAATACTACTAGTGGACTGGTGGCTAGACCGGTCTTGATAAAGTAGCTAAAGCCTATGTAACAGGTATAAGAATTATCGAATAGTGCGATTCACATGACCATGGAGATCGTCAATTATTTTTGGAAAATACATGAAAATATGAAAAATTGACACCGAGAAACACTTTGTGTTTGGATAATGTTTAATGCTTAAAATAATGCAAGTGTTAAGATAGAGGAAAGTAGCCGAGTATGTTTATTTATAATATTTATTTCTAATATGTAGAAAATATTTCTTAATTGTCAATGATGTTATAAAATTCGCGGTCGGTTTACGCATTCGCTTTGCTTGTTTCATGTTGTATTAAAATTTCTTTAGGCGACAGCAACCTATTTAGTTACACAATAAAAAGCTCATGTGAGGTGAAAATAATTGTAAACGTCCTCCCCTACGATCCCTTAAAAAGATCCGGTCTTATTACCCATAACCCTGTATATTATTTAAGAGATTAAAAGATATGAAATTAGGCAACAACAATTCTATCTAGGAATTTGACATTGACATTTAGTAGGAATAGGTCTTTAATGAAAAGATGCTTACAAAGTAGGCGGGGAGTCGAATCTAATAAACAAATTACGCCGAATGCTAAGAGGGATTCAGCGTCGTTTGTTACCGCATCGTCATCTTTTGTATACTCCGGGCACGTATCAGTGTTGGCTTTTATACCGCTTTATAATTTTTTGCTTCGTTGTAGCATTCATAAAACACTAGAAGTACTTAGTTATCAATATGAATTTAAAGATTTTCAAAAACCGCAAAAAGGCAAAATTAATCAAATCTTTAAAAACCTTCGTTTAAAGCTCACAATAAAGATTGATTTAATCGGCAATTCCTCAATAAAATAAATTTATTTTAAACATACACAGTGCTGTTATTCAAGAACCTCGGGACGTATCACCTATAAAATTATATACTAAATGCCATCCCATACTCGCGTTTTCTGCATTCGCGGTGTATTTATGTAACGTATCCCCCGCGAATGAGGAGCTTCCACTGTAGATACATTAACGAAGCACCCGTCCGTGGCCGTAGTTCCTGGGCTTCTGTGCGTTGTGCCTGTGCATCGGCGCGCTGGTGCCGCGCCACGCGGCGGTGGGCGCCATCAAGTGGGGGGGGCGGCGCTACGGGTTCTGCAGCGTCAACATGGCCGTCACTTTCAGCAGGGACCCCGCCAGGTGACGCCGCCTTAACGTCCAAAACAAAACCTAACGCTGTGTGTATACGTTCGGTTTATTAATTGAAATCGCCCACATGATCCCTAGAGAACCGTTTAGTGGGATAAATAGTAACCTATATGATAATCCATGCTTAGAATTATCTGTATACCAGGTACCATCAAAATCAGTCCAGTAGTTTTTTCGTGAGAGTAACAAACAAACATGATAGATGTATGGATCTCACAAACTTTCGTATTTCAAATGTAATACAAAATGTCAAAAAATACGAAACGATTGAAAAAGGTAAACCGTGGCCTAAATAAGGTTTTAAACATTATTAAAAATAAGTTATGTATTACAATCATTTTGTAGGATAACAATCTAATAAAGTTTCTTAGAATTTACAGACAAAATATGTTTAGCTTTAGTAAAATAACGTAAAGAAAATGCAACATTTTTAGGAATTTTAATGTATAACGATAAATTTGAATGATCAAGAAACAAACAAAACTTAGTAACTTAAAGCTGTATTTGCGTTTAACGTTCGGCTTAAATGATTCCAATCCGATTAATGAAATCGTTCATTCGATATCTTCAAAAAAACATTCGCTATGGTAATCGCTATCACACGTCAAATAGTTGTAGCGTGAAGTTCGTGAATATCTTTCAAATGTCAAATTTGACTTTGGACTTTTAATCACAATGTTCCTGTTGTACGGCGTAGTAGCCCCCACCAGTAGACTATTTTCTAATTGTTCTACCTTATCCTCCACTATAAAAGAAGATAATAGATAGATATACAGATAAATGATTTATTTCTTGCCAAAATACACACACACATACATTACATTTCAAAGTACAAAATAATGTATCGAGCGGTTGTATTCCTGATTTAGGTACGTGAACGAAGTCCTCCACTACGCCCGCAACAACCCGCACGTGATCCACCTGCTGAACATTCTAGAAGACGTGTACAAGGTGAAGGATGTCGACATACTCGTCACCGAGCACGTGCCTAAGAGTAAATACATCTTTTTTTTACTTTTCAACCCCTTTCATTAACTTTACACTATATTCACTATGAAAGATAATAATCATTCGTTAGTCTAACCCAGCTTTCCCAAAGTGGGTGATAGCGCCCCTCGTAGGCCTAAATGGCCCACGAGGGGCGCTATCGGGGGGTAAGAAACCCAAAAAAAATTGGGGCATTGTGTAGAGGCTCAGAAAGAGTTAATTTGAGACTTGTGTTCTACTGACTGCGCCCAGGTCTCAAGTAAATTTTTGGCGGTTATAGTAAGTCTCCTTTAATATCTATAGCTTACAGTAAGGGCGCTTGTGCACTACACTGAATTTTCAGGTCCAGCGGTCCGATTTTTTCCGGTCCGGAATGACATGAAAAACTCGGATGAGTGGCTTGTGCACTTGTCCGTTTTTTTCCTGATCGGAGCGGCGCAGTGTAGGGCAGCTCTCTTTGAAGCTACACGTCACTTACGCTATGTACGATGAGATTTTTGGAACGTCGGTAATTCCGTTCGAAGACGTAGAAAGGTACCTAAATAATGATCTGATCGTTTTACATAAACCATAATAAATTATGGCAAGACGAATGAAGCATTTTTTTACTACTATCGGATGGCTACTATCAGATGTAAAAACTTATACCCTTACTAATTTAGGAACAGCATTATTCACATACAATAGCTAAAAATATCTGTGACATTAGAATAAAATTACTGATAATGGTCTAGTACTTGATGTTTAAATTTTTAAACGTGCTATTTTTTTTCGAAGTTTTGTAAAAACATCTTTCAGCAATTACAGAGATAGACCAATCGGTGGCGCCATTTCGTAAACAAATCGAAATTAGTGCCGTGTTAGCGGAGAATTATTATGCTAAATGAACTTTACGAGATCAGTTGACTATATTATATATAGGCATAATTTTATACGCGTGGTGTAGTTTCTTTGAGCAGAAATATTATTCCCTTAGAATACTTTTTTTTTTTAATTATTAATGACACAAACATACATTTAAAATTTTGTTAAATGCGAAAAAGACATAGAGTTTCACTTAATTACTTTTGTTAATTCTTTATTATTACTTCTGTTGTCAAATATTTATCTTTATTTATCAATTGTCTAAAAAAAATTTGATAATGACAAATTTCCAGGCAAACTTTCATCCCCTATTTTTCGCGATAAAATGTAGCCTATGTCCTTTCTTAAAGTTAAGTCTATTTACTATATTAATTTCCATTTAGATGAGTTCAGTTGTTTAGGCGTCTAAGCGTAACAACACTTATTTATCTTACCTTAAGCTATCGATACTTTTAATACGATTCTAAAATCTAGCTAAGTATATAGCATTTTATAATCAACAATAAATATCGATTATAAGTTTATTGGAAATTAACAATATTGCCGAAATAAATATCGATTCAAATCGATTATTTTTTCCCAAGCCTATTCCTTATGAATTTTCCGGATCTCGGACACAGCAGTGCACAAGCGTAAACACGTTTTTCATTGCCGCCATCACGGACCTGAAAAAACCGGTCCGGAATAGAGAAAAGTAAAATTCCGGACGGTAAAATTCCTGACAGTGCACAAGCGCGCATTACCTACATATGGCCTGACATATCGGACCTGAAAAAATCGGACCGCCGGACATGAAAATTCAGTGTAGTGCACAAGCGCCCTAACTAATTAAAATTGAAATTATAGTGGTTTTAAGTAGGCGAAAAATAAAGGCGCTATAAATTATTTGTCCTCGAATAATTTATACTTATATCAAGGAGTTTCGAAAAGTAGATGTTAAAAAATAAAATCAATCTCTCGCTTTTTGTTTGTGCAGGGCCAGATACTACGACTCCGGGCTAATAAAGCTAATAATAGTTTAACTATACAGGAAAAATAATAACCACTGTACACCTTTTCTATGATTTAGTATCATTAACAGAACATATTTTTGCAGTCAAATAAAATATAATGTGTATATGATAGTTCAGGTGATGGACAAGGACATACAGACTGAGGTACACCCGGTGGAGAGTTACATCGAGAAGAATTACTCTTGGGACTTATGGAAGTGGAAGCGAAGGGCGTGCCAATGGGTAATTATTTATTCATATCGCTCATTAATAGAGAAGTTTGTAAACTTTTAAAGTAATCGAAGAGCTCCATGATATATTAGCTCCTATACCAGTAATGAGCCTGATACAAATACGAGAAAAACGGAAATAATTCGATATAAGCCTGGAATATTTTTAAACGAGTTTGGGAGCCAATTACAAGAGACTATATTTAAGAATCCATCTCATTTTAGCTACGGAAGGTAAAAAAAAACATCAAGTCAAAAAACCTGATTTCCTTCACGCAAAATTACTAACACGACTTTTTTCACAAATTTTGGTTTTATTTATCATAGCGATAATGAAAATTACTGAAATCCAGCTAAACAATTTACAGGAAATAGTGATTTTTATTAAACTTTTTTGTAGTAGTAGTGGTTTAATATGATAAAACTTTATATAAAGTATTTCTGAGTGGATTTTAATGATTTTTAGTAGTGTTTAACTCAAAAGTCTGCTGAATATATTTCGTGTTATAGTTTTGCTTCATAAATAATTATAAGGCTATTGGTATGCAATATTACCATGGAAATTTTCATTGGATTCAAAACAAGATATACTTAACGCAATATAGTAATATCACAGAACATAGAGAGAGATTAGAAGTATAATGATATTAATTTAGTATGGGAACCGAGTGTCGCCTCTCCGCACACAAATACAGATTAGATGAAATGATCATTTTGTTCACTACATGAAAAACCGCCACGCGATAGGTTCGCGATAACATAAATCAAATCCCAAAAAGATACTAAGCTAAGAAATCACACGATTAAAAACAAACTCTAATTCAACGTGATAATAAATAATTTACTTTAACATGAATGTTGAACTGTCACGTGGCTGTATATGGGGATACCAGAAGGAAAAAAATATTTTAAGATTATGCACATTTAAAAAAATTGGGGTCATCATTTTATGTGCGAACTATTAATATTAGATTTTGCTGTAACCAAGTGAATACTGAAAAATTAAGGCTTTTCCCTACATAATTTATTAAAATATCTTTTAAAAAACGCAGTACAAAAACTAAGAAAACTTAATGATACACTCTATCGTATGTCTGTGGAGTAATATAATTAAGCGAGGGAAAGTGTAAAAAAAACAAAAATTAAGAAAACAACAGAATTTTTGTATTAATTACATTAAGCCTAATTTGTATTTTTTTCTTACTGGTATCATTCCGATTGTGCATATTAGTGATGTGACATATTAGTTGATAAAATAAGAGCTTTAAATTTTGTTATGAAACAGTTCAATGTAATTCAGTTCGACAATTTTCTACAGTGGTTTGATAGTAATTATTTAAAGCTTTATTCAAATAAAACGAAATACATAAAGTTTGCATTACCTAATGTGAGGCATGTTAATATACTTATAAATGTAAATAGTGAAAAAGTTGAGATGGTGGAATCGACAAAGTTCCTTGGTATTTTGGTATATTGATAATTTGTCAAGTAGACTGAGTTCTGCAGCATTTGCTGTTAAGAAAATTAGACTCTTAACAAATGTTGAAACGGCAAGATTGGTATATTTTAGTTATTTTCATAGTGTAATGAATGACGTATAATCTATTGTTATGGGGTTCTGCGGCTAGCATTCAAGATATTTTTATTCTACAAAAGAGAGCTGTCCACGCTATATATAATTTACGGTCTAGAGAATCTCTCAGAGAAATATTTAAAGAAATAAATATTTTGACTGTTGCCTCTCAATACATCAATGAAAATATTATGTACGCAAGAAAACATTACGATTCCTTCACAAAAAAAAGTAGAAATAAAAATAAACTTGCCATTCCAAGTGCTTGTAATAGCCTTCTTGAATAAAGATATTTTCATTTCATTTCATAATAACTAATATGATCATTACACTAATAAATTGATCATAGCCATGTTTGTTTTACTTTATTATTCTAAGTTTTATATCTGTAATAATAGTAGTAGCTACATTATTAATTGCAACGACTGGACAATAAGGAATTGCTGGTCAAGTATGAGTTTGAAAGCCGTGACAAAAAAAGTTTGAAGATAGACACAAAAGCGATAAGTACGTACAAACGTCAATCTACATATAAAGTCACATCCGTTTGAGACATGCGTCTATAAACTTATGTGCAAATATGGAGCAACAAAAAAACTGATAAAAGCTGTTCTGTGGGCGGTTCTTTAAAGTGGCTTTCTTAACTCGATTTCTATAATAATAGTTTCCGATTATGAATCAGCATAATAAGGTAAATTAAATTGACGCCTAAAAATTAATTTTGTAAATTAAATTCACACCACCAACAATATTACGTTAGTTGAAAACATAATTTTTTGTTTGTATAGATATTATGTTGTTTTGAAATTCATTTGATAGGTTTAGGTCTAAAACAGATAGGGCAAAATTAATTATGTAAACAAGGCAATCCGTTGTAAAGTTATTAGGGAAACTGAAATATAAGTAATGCAAAATAAGTGAAATCCAGTTTCACCAGTTTCTAACAAGACCTATTAGGCCAACTCTTAGCTTTTCACGAAGTTTCGTTTAATTTATGTATTGTTCATAAAACGGTGATATACTTCGTAACTTAGATATTTATAGCACATCAGTAATTTTTAATATTTATCTGCGTGTAAATAATTAACCGAATCTTCGTAAAAAAAGTGCCTGGACAGTTCATTATTTCATTTGTTCAGTATCAGTTCATCTATAATTTTCCCTTGTAAACAGTATTTTTTAGTTTTATATAATTATGGCATATATTTATCGATAACGTTGTTATGAAATGATGAAAGAAAAGCTCTAAATAAATATGTTTTAGTTATCGATTACGATCCATATAATTAACAATACGATTCCGAGCAGCAGCAGCCTATCGGTACATTTCAGACAAATGGAGGCACAGCACTATTTTTTGCAAAAGTGCACAAAATGATTTACATTGCTGTTTAGTAATGGGGTCAGAAACATTGATGTTGGTTTGAGCAATCAATGTATATTTTATTTAACATTGTGTCAAATTATTACGTTTTTTATATTTTAGCACTAAAATTGTACTTACCAGTGAAAGGAAATGTTTGCATTAGTTAGATTGTATACTTTGCTTTGCTTTTTGCAAGTGATAATAGCACAAAACGGCATTTTTTATAGAAAAAATCTGTAAAATCACCACTCGACGATTGACGAACGACTGGCAAACATAAAACCGAGGAAAGGGCGTCATATGAGTAAAAGCGCATATGCCAGCGACGCGTGCCCCGCCCACTTACTACTTCTATTCTCTCTCTATGTTCTGTGAGTAATATCGATTGAAGTCGTATTTCATTGTTAATATTATTGATTTTTTACAAACATTTTTTTTAATATTTATTGTCCGTGTTTTTATAAAAATATGAGTTTCCAAATATAATATTAGGAAGATTTATGTATTTCATGGAAGTAAAAGTAATTAACAGCGTGAAAATACGTAGAAGTCACTTTATATGTATTTTGCTTATCGTGTCATTGAGAAATTAAAGGAATTTTTTTTTTTTTTTACTAATAATCCAAAAGAAAATGTCGATGGATTAATTCATATATTAAAAAGGAAATATATAACGGCGGGTAGTCCGAAGGGACTATTACGAAGCCCAAATAGATTGTCCATATCGGAGGACTATCTTTAAAATTACACTGCAGGCTGTGTGACATTGTATCTAATACTTCATATTAGTCTGTGAGGTGGCAACACCAGGAAACGGAAGCAAATAAAGTATTCTATAAACCAACATAAACAGGCGTGTATACCAACGTGGATTTGTTCCATTTTATCACTTTTCACACGAAAATATAACGAGATGAGCGTGATGTCGTCAGATGTCTTTACTCCTCGGCGGTCGGAAACAGAATGTCTGCCAAAATGGCGGCAACTTGGTTTTTATTGACGAACTGTCAAAGTCAGTGTCACCATTCTAATAAAATTAAGGGTATCGATGATCACGCTCTCTTTACAATCGAGTAATTAAGTAATCGAGTAACTAGCAATTAAAATAAAAGAAACTACATCAAACGATCTTCGCAATGATGATGCGACATTTATGATACGCTCATAATAAAATAAAAAACAGCTGTTATGATTTAAAGTTTGATCTCCATACTGAAAGTTGATATTTGTATCAGGCTATAATATAGTATCAGTGGTAGCGTTGAGCTTAGCTCTGAGATCACAAGTCCGATACCGTAACAAGTCAATATAGAAAAGTTGGATATTTTGTTTAAGTTGTGAATCTATTTATTGCTGTGAGTACCATTACACACAAAGCACATCACGATTAACGCAACTTGTCAAATGATTCGCGATCGATTTTAAACTCTATCATCAATAAATTAAGGTAAAATCAAGTCAAGTACAAATATGGACATCCTGACGTTCTGTTGACTGTAACAATATATTATAGAAACGTTGTTTTTTTTTTCCTGTCAGTCGTTTAGGATATCTTTTGGTCACAAGCTTTGTAATTTAATACAGACTCATTAGTTTCAGAGATCACGGTGCTATTCGGCTATTTTGTTTGAGAACATTAACAGTTATTGGCGAGCAATATAGTTTGCGTAATTGTAAATCGTATTATTTAACTTCTAGATGAGTAAATTTGATCATTATGGGGTCGAGTGGTTTTAGAGAAAATCGACTACTGCAGACGACCAGACCACCGGGTGCTCTTCAAGGGTTCAATTTCTTTTTGAGAACCAATGAAAAGTGAATATTTCGTTTTTCCGGTAACAGGCTACGATAGTAAACTGCAAGACCCATTCGACTCAAACCAAGTACAGCCACATGAGGGCCGAGATCCAGTGCCAGACCGTGCAGCGGCGCGACGCGAGCCTGCAGACGGCCCGCGCGCGCGCCACCTGCACCCCGCACCGCGCCCACTTCGTGTGGGGGCTGCGCGGGCAGCGGGGGCTGGGGCAACATACTCAAGACTTCACAGACTTTGCGCACTCTGAGAAAAAGAAAGGTATCGAGTAATGTTTGCTTCGTTCCGGGATTTTTTTTAATATTCCTTTTTTATGGTTGCTGTTTATGACAGGAAATAAATGAATCCACTCGCTGGCTGGTGATAATAATTTATTTATTTATTTGTCCCGACGGCTGTTTCAAATGACAGTGCGACGAAACACGACGGTTTCCTAGACCACCCGAAGGATGCGTCACCGTCGGCCGCTGTCGAATACTTCTCCTGCGCTTCTCGCCCGGTGCGCAATATTAGGCGCAAAAAGTTGCATTTATGAAATTCGATACACATGCTGCGATGCTCTTTACGGTCGCATTTATGTGACATGAGAAACTGTAGGATATTTATTCTTAAGAAAAAGCTACAAGTTTTTATTATATTCTGATGTAGCAGTTAATTTTTTATCTTTAAAACTTCCAATTTGTTATAGTACCTACTTACTATAACAAATTGGAAGTTTTAAAGATAAAATTGGATTTAAAATAAATACATTTATTTATCTTCTCAACGAACATTTTCATGTTACCCATATCATGAGAGTGATTAAATTTTGCAAATTGAAATAGAATGAATTCATTCTATTATTTTCGCTTTTTTAGCGAATCCTTTTATTCGATATCCATATACAGCAGTAAAAAGGACGCCATCTTGTGCCGTCGCGTCGGTCATATTAAATTAAAAATTTTATAACTGCATTGTCATCTTCACCTAACCTGTATACAAAATTTCAGCACAATTGACTGCTTTGACGATTTTTTATAAAATACTAGTAAAATTTGTTCCCCCAGCGCAAGTAATATCGACATGCAGTTGGCCCTGCTACGAACCTGAAGTGGCAACATCTGATCCGGCATGCTCTGAACATGACGACGATAATATATGAACGAAGAAACTTTTTTAATAGTTATTTAAATTGCACAATTTACTGCACGGCTGTTTTATGTGAAAAAGGAATTTACTACGTAAACCTGTACGTTTTTGCTAGTAAAGTTAATTAAAAAAAAAATTTAATAGTTCATATTTATTAGAATTCTCAATGACACCGCTAACGATTTATTTATTTATTTATTTATTAGGTAACACAACAGACATTAATCAAAATATAAATGAAATAATAAGTAAAAACTGTGTAGTACTAAATTAATATCCTAAAGGTGTTTACACAATGAGATATGATAAAGAAAAAACAACAAACTATTATTATTACTTTTACTAATATGAAAGAAAACAGAAAGAATGAGTATAAATCAATCTGGATGGTTAAAAAGATTCGACATTTAGGTCTACCACAACTTTCCCAATACATTTTTTGAATTTAAAGAGATTGGCATTAAATATGTCTAATGCCTGATTAACTGGGAGGATCTCATTATAATTTCTGCACATACGAGCGATGGGATTATGATAAGATATGTTATTTCTATATGTCGGTATGACAAAAGTTGGTTGCCTGCGCCTTGGATTATATTTGAAATTAATGTTAATAGATGAAAGAAGATATTCTGAGTCAATTACGGAATGAACTAATTTATGAAGTGTTATTAAATCATGTTGATAACGACGAGTGTTAAGAGATGTAATATTGAATTTACTCAATCTGTCCTCATATGACATCAAACCACGGCTGGTACCGAACTTTATACTTAATAGTTTTGTGAATTTCCTTTGGATTCTCTCAATTGCCATAGAGTGATTATTGTAGAAAGGATTCCAAATCGTCGAGCAGTATTCGATTTTACTTCTGACTAGGGAATAGTATAATAGAATTAAGCTTTTTGCCTTATAAAAGTCTTTAGTAATTCTATAGATAAAACCTAAAGTTCGCATTGCACTGGTAGATAAGGAATCATAATGGGCCCTGAATGTAAGTTTGTCATCAAAAATTACCCCAAGATCCCTAACCGCTTCGCTGCGTCTAAGGACTGTAGCTTCTAGTTGATAATCGAAGATACATTTGTTACGCTTGTTTGTGAAAGATATGACAGTGCATTTGTTGATATTTAAAAACATACTATTTAGAGCACACCATTGTGATATATAGTCAATATCCTTCTGTAGTTTTATACAGTCATCAATAGAATTAATCTGTTGAAAAACCTTGAGGTCATCAGCGTACAGTAAGCCCGGGCAAGATAGTTTTTCAGCGAGATCATTAATAAAGATCAGGAAGAATAATGGGCCAAGATGGGAGCCCTGGGGAACGCCAGACTTAATCTCTACGAGATCCGACAAAAAACCTTTAATGGCGACCAGTTGGTGTCTGTTAGAGAGATACGATTGGATCCAGCGGAAAAGTGACCCATGAATACCAAATTCACAAATTTTTCGGCAAAGTAAATGGTGATTAACCTTGTCGAATGCCTTTTTAAAATCTGTGTATACAGCATCTATTTGACCGCCATTATTAAATGCTTGAAACAAACAATGACTGTACTCAAGAAGGTTACTAACCGTGGATCTACCTTTTGTGAAGCCATGCTGTTTAGGCGATAAATAGGGTTTGATGTGGTGGTATACAAAGTCATAGATGATTGACTCAAATATCTTCGCTGGACATGACAAGATACTTATTGGTCTATAGTTTTTGCAATCACTAAGATCGCCACACTTATGGATAGGTATTATATGGGCAGTCTTCCAAACACAGGGAAATGTACCAAGGCGTAAAGATAAATTGAAGATAAGAGACAAAGGCAGGCTGAGCTGTTTAGCACATACCTTGAAGATTATAGCAGGAAGTTTATCAGGGCCAGCCCCCTTATTTATATCCAACTTTTTCAACTTTTTCAGTACGTCGACAGAAGTCACTTGTACCTTTGTCAATGACAATGAGCCAGAGAGAAGCGACACGTCATCACAATTAGAGGGTGTTACCGGCAAAGGGTTCTCGAAAACTGAGGCAAAGTATCTAGAAAAAAGTTCGCATACACCTTTGCCATCAGACGAGGACACCCCATCAAGTGTCATTGTCTGAGGAATGTCTTTACTGTTTCCTTTTTTAGAACGCACAAAGTTCCAAAACGTTTTAATATTTACCTCCAATGCATCCTCAACTGACAATACATATTTTTTATAACAAGCATTTAGTAAACATTTCGCACGATGCCGTAATAACGAAAATGTGTCATAATCCCTAGGATTATTATACTTCTTGAAACGTTTGTGGTATTTATTTTTTTCAATCATACATCTCTCAAGTCCCGGTGAAAACCACGTTGGGAAATTGTTTTTATTGTTTTTACTCAGTGGAGTATGTTGCTTTATGGTATCGTCTAAAATCCGATAAAAAACATCGACAGCATCATCGACATTCTCTAAATCTAGTAATGAGGTCCAGTCAGTACTGTCGAGGTCAGATTGAACACGTTGAAAGTTACACTTAAAGAAATTGTAGCGTGGGTTTACGTTACATCTGATAGAATTCCCGTATTTTCCCGGCTTCAAATGAATCTCGATAGGAGGGTGATGACGATCTTCCTTAGATAATGGGTTTGCTTTGGAGACATTTATTTGGTTAGCCGTAGTGAAAACCAAGTCCAAGAGACGATGGTTCGCATTGTGTATATTATTAAACTGAGAAAGACCGCAGAGTGTGAGTGTTTCATGTAGCATTTTGGATTTAGGGTCAGTGGGAAGGCTAGGGGCAAGGCAGGCACCGTTACTTGACCAAGACAAATTAGGAACATTGAAATCTCCAATAATTAATGGAATGCCGTTATTAAAATGAAGTATATTCGACTGTATTTTATCATGAAATTTGACCAGCAGGTCAGATTGTATATCGGGAGGCAGATAACATACACATAAATGTATTAAGAAAGAAGGTTTAGCATTTGAGACGGAGACCCATATGTCCTCAGCTTCACTCTCCCAACTTAATTGACGAACGATATTAAAAGATTTTTTGATAGCTATAAGCACCCCGCCACCTTCAGATTTATGTATTAATGAACAGTGTCGGTCACGTCTAAAAATATTATAACGTTCATCAAACAATTCACCGCTGTATACGCTTTCATTCAAGTTGGATTCAGTGAAACAAATAATATCATAATTGTGATTTAACACATTCAAATACACATCTTTCGTTTTCGTTCTGAGACCATTAACATTTTGGTAAAATACACTTAGATTACGTTCCATTATAAAGAATTAACATATGGTTAACATATACGATTAACAAAGTTAGAAAATTACATTTAAATTACACAATAGGTTTAGTTTAACTTGTTTAAGCATTCTATATTCTTAACTTGAAAAGCGGGACTGTTATCGTCTTTGCGGATATATATCTTTCCGTATTTAACCCAGACAAACTTAAAGCGATGTTCCTTAGCCCATGCTCGTGTGGTTGAGTACAGCTCCTTACATTCGGGAGAAAGATGTTCAGCTAAGTAAATGAGAGTTTTATCTCCTGGAATGCCAATCAGCGTCGTATTAAAGAGATCAGAGCGGTGGTCTTTATTATATCTTTTAAATGCTGAAAGTATGTTATCTCTATGGCGTTCAGATGGCAGGGTAACAAGAATATTCCGAGGCCGCGGAGAATTCGGATTCAGTTTAGCCACTCTTCTTACAGCGCATATATCACTGTCTTGAATTCCCAAACCTAGAGCCTCGCACATATTTTTAAAAATGACTAGGACATTTTCATTACGTCGATCGGGGACACATTGAATTTCTAAATTACGGCCACGCGATGACTTTTCAAGAATTGATAGGCGTATTTGTAAACCAGAAAGGTCGTTGTGCAGTTTTATTTTTTCAGCCTCAAGAAGCGCTATTTTTTATTCGCAGTGTTAATGTCACAACGTATATCACGTTGTTCATCGCTTAAAAAATCAGTTGTTGTAGTGAATTCGGCCCTTAACTTATCAATTGTAGCAGATACTTCGGTTTTAATCATTTTGCTGATAGATGATTTAAAACTATCGAATTTGGTATCAAGTTTCGAATCCAATTTTGTATCCAATTCTTGTAAAAACTGAGCGAGACTCATATTTTCCACGTGTGAATCGGAAGAAGGCTTGGGAGTAGCCAAGCACCGAGTTCGATTATCCTTACTTATATTGAAAGAAGAATCTTCAAGAACAGAATTATCACAGGACATCATTGTATCACTGTGTTGTTCAACAATATGTTGTCGTACCGGTGTGTTCGGGTCTTTACGCCGAGTAATATTGGCGCAACTTGGACAGTACCAAGATTTTTTAAGTTCCTTTTTATTTGCGCTAAAATATGCTGCAGACATGTTTAAACATTTAAAGTGATAAACGCCCTTGCAAAGGTAACATTTGATTAATTCCTCGGTTGAAATCTTTGTTTTGCAAGCGTTGCAGTTCATAATGGAGACTCCTTCAATATTATATTAGCAACAAAAACTTGAATTGCTATTTCGCTCACGTAGGTGATCGTAACGTCACAGTTTTATTTTTTTTATTTCAAAATATTAAAAATTCCACTTTGAAATAATAATTTTCTCACATATAACAAAATTCAAAAAGTGAAGAAAACAAAAAAGAGCGGAGATTTTGTATTTCCCAAGCCGAGCTGGGTTCGAACTCTCTCTCAGCTTGTGAGACGCAAAAATTTAACCACTTGACCAAGACGCCTCGGTCAAAAGTTGTAAATTAAACAAACTTATTAAGCTTGTATGAAGACTGTGCCGGGGAACAGTAAAAAAATTTCGTTGGTAGATGAATAATTCAGAATCACATCACCACAAAAATCGTACTTTTACACAAAAATTGCACCAACACTGAGTAATTCCAGATGAAAACGATGACACCTCGCAATAGCACTTGAACAGATGAATACAGGTATGTAACTTATTCTACTAACTATTCGGTTTTTCCCACATAAAACAATTAAAATCAGCGGAGGCAAACGAATATGTCTATACGGATTGAAATAGTGAAGCTTTCTAGATGCTTAGTAGACAAAATTCAAATCCATTTGTCCATTTCTTCTTCTTCTTTTATTAATGGCTTATCTGCGCATTTCGATTCTGCCAATGTCAAATAAATAAATTAGTTTCTACATGTAAAATGAAAATGAAATGAATGAAAGATGACGATGGATCTGATTCACAAAATTATTGATTATTACATTTGTAGGTAATTTTGTAAAATTACTACGAATAAAGATAGGATAGATCCCCAGTTTAGCCCAAAACAAACTATAATCCAGTACATGAACGCATTGTTGTTTATTATTGGATACCACGACCAAAGTATATAAAACTTCTTCTAAAACACAATTCGCGAAATAGTACATTTTAGTTCTGAAGGCGCCGATGCCAGAGATGGATTTCAAACCTATAACTTCACAAATCTAATTCGTCAGTCCTCTAACGTCTCGTGCTGAAGGTCATAGGTTCGAATCCCATCTTGGGATCCTGGACCCGTAAATTTTTTAAATATTTCTCTATAAGATAAATATCGATATTGTATTATGGATGCGAAATTAATCAAATTACCATAACGTTCTAAATATTTAATCTTTATTCAAATTAACTAAGTTAAAATTATTTTGAATGAAAAGTAAGAATGAACAAGAATCTTACCAGCTCTAATGGGGGTAAAGACATTTACAAAAATCATGCCATTACCAAATCAATATTAACAATAAAAATCAAAGCATTTTGATAAATCTACTAATAATCAGTCAAATTATATTAAGTTTTCATGACAAATAGTTTTTTAATAGAACATTTAAATATATTTGTTGTACACTGCTCGGTACTGAGACCTTCACTATTATTGACTATTAACTTTTTGACGTCTAGTAATAGATAAAAAAATTTGTACATAACTTTTTATAAAAAACAAGTCAATTTTTTTTACGAAAGTACATTAAACTTTCATATATGTATTATAAGAAACAACAGTTGTTATATCTATTTCTTTCTCTTAATGAGTCTCAAACCTTGAGATTATTGATTCACCCTTCAGAAGCGCAAAAATCATTTGTATGTCGTCAGCATTTCCCCGCAACAAAATTCCATTACACTATAAAATAGCTAAGTATACGGAAAAACTTCTAACAGTAATATCCTGACATAATATTACACACACATACACAACATTTGCACTCTTTCACTCACACACAAACACATACATGCACACACACACACACACATACACCCACCCACCCACACACACACACACACACACACACACACACACACACACACAAAATACCTGATTTTAAGTGAACAATGTTGGTAAATAATTAAATTTGTAACTATCAGTAATTATTATAAGATTACTGATAGTTACAAATTTTATTGCATTAAGTTACGATAAATGTAAGGTTAACATTTATCGTAACTTAATGCAATCTGGTGCTCATACTAAAGTGAATATAGGGAAAGGAACTTAATCCCTAAATACAGATTATTTTTATAATCTATTAGGGTCAGTTGTGATTTATACCGTCTATAATAATTGCCTTATATAACTAATTACCTTAAGACCTGCATACCATCTGTTCAAATGTATGTTTTATTTTGGCATGAATAAAGAATTATTATTATTATTATTATTAAATTAAATTAAACTAATCTGGGTATCTACATCAGTCAATTGGCGTATCTTCATGACAGCACAGAGCAAGTCTATTCGATTTATCAACACGTGGGCTCCACTGAAGTTTAGATTCCGGAGTAATAAGTTTATTGATGCAATCTACCATCTATCTCCTCAGTCTGTTGATGGTACTCCTCGCTTCTCTCGCGAGCAACACGTCGTCGGCACGTTGCCGTAACGTTTCCGCCTCGGCACGTAACGTCGCCAGCGTGCTCGCTAGCGTCAACAGTGACTTGGGATACAGGTGGGGTGGTACCGACAATTTGTTGAATTTGGCCTGCAAATTATCACCTCGAGGTCAAAAATCTATGTGTATGAGTGTAATAATAATGTAACTAGTATACTATTGTAAACACAAATTAAATATTGAAGAAAGCAGTTTTCAAAACTAACTAGCTAGCAAACTAGATGTCGCTACGTGCTTTAAAACGGTTGCGTCAAACCTAGTGTCAATCGAATTATCTTTGAAATAAATGTGTTCCTATTTTCTTTTGGATGTAATAAAATTACATTTAATTACTAGTATCTTTCTTTTGAACATCGATTATTTATTTATGTTGTTTTAATTGAACTAAAGGAACGAAAATCCGTTGTGATATCATTATTTCCCTTCAATTTACACAAATGTGTCGAGCATAATTTAGTATCCCCATCTAGTGACACTTATTTTTACAAGACTGCCTTCTGGGCTGTAGGTATAATATTGTGTTTAAGTACAGTTTTGTTTTTTAATACTTTTTCATTCAATCATCAAATTATTCACGTCACCCATGTGAAATATTTTATGCCGTTAAATATAATTGCTTAAAAAATGATAATGACTAGTCATTCTTACCATTGCTTTTTCATAGTTCTCTTCATATGTAGCTACTTTTAACTTTAGTTGCCTAAAATGCTCTCGTATATTTTCAGGATTAGGGGTTTGCGATGCCAAGAACTCCTTCGAACATTCTAAATCTCTTCTAAGGCCATTCAAAAACATTTTGTTGCTATCTATTTTCATTTGTAACTCTGCATTTTTCTGCTTAACCTTTAATATTTCATATTCGCCTTCCATTCGCTCCACTTCAAGCCTGGAGTGTTGAAGAGAGATAGCCGTAGAATCTAGCTGGTCTATTTTCAGGGAATATAGATTATCTGCTGTCTGACGTAATATATGTTGAGATCTTTGCGGCAGAGTGCCAATGTCGATGTTGAGTTTTCTAAGAACATCAGCATTGAAGGCAGCTGGAAAATATATGGGTAATAGTTTTAATATATCATTCATAATGCAACAAGAATAAGGTTGTAAGCAACTTAAATTGTAATGATTCTATTAGTTAGTATAAGTTTTACATTTGTAAAGTATAAATTGTGAGTGTAATGCACCCCCACCCTGCAGCGCTTCAAGCTGTTATAAATAATTTTTGATACCCATTTAACAATAGTGCACAAAATAATTACTAGATCGTCATCTTGTATCAGCCACTATATTAGATTTAAAATTATGTAACTACATAGTCACTAGAATTGAAGAACACATGGTGTATATTAGTATACTTGCACCCGGTTTCTGAATTGAGACTTTGAAATTGAGCATGTCTCAAACCGTGCTTAAGCCATTTCAAAATACCAATTAAACAGGTTTCCACTACTGATTTATATTTTTTTAATGATCAGTTGATAGCAATTCAATAAAACTAGGATTCAAATTAGCATTAAAACATTCACAGTTGTACAGTACTATAGGGGAGAGGGGACTGTATTGTTTCTCTTAACCTGTAAGTATGCTTACATCATACTACATATCCATCACTTAAATATTATTGTCAATGTTAGTTTCATTCTGAGAAAATATTTGAAAATATAAAAACTTTTTTAATATAAAAGTATTCTGTAAAAATAAAATTTGTATATTTTATATAAGTCCTAATTAATAGATATATTTTAAATTTTATTATTAAAAGACACATAATACTCCATTTAAAATGCATTTGAATGTGCCTTCTATTTATGAAAAACAAATAATGTGAATTAATGTGTAGTTAAAATGTTGCATCATCACATCAACAACCTATCATTGACCAGTGATGAGCTCCTCACTCGCGAGGTGCCTCGTTTGAGTTCCTCATTTCGACAAAATGAGGGAGTACTCGTTTTTCAATTTTGAACCAACTCATTGAGCTCCTCACTTTTTGAGTGAGGAGCTAAGTAGCGAATTGTTTCGAATGAAAAGGCGACTCGATACTTACTCAATATATTCAAGATTGAGGGAATGGGTTAAGTTTTATGAGTTTTTTGGAACGATCCAGCCCCCTAATTGTCTAATTTTAAATCTATTGCAATCGCTTTCAGTTTGAAAGGTGTTGCACAACCATTGCTTGTTTCTGAAGACAGTTGAAAAAAGAGTATTTGTATTATGCAGCAATGGTTGTGCAACACCTTTCAAACTGAAAGCGATTGTATTAGATTTAAAATTAGACAATTAGGGGGCAGGTTTGTTTTTTGTGTTTCTTCGCAAATACGTATTTAAAATTTTATAGATAAATGATATTAATCAGTCTAAGTAAAAATCAAAGTTAATAAAAATGTATCGGTTTTATTTAGAAATATATTTATATGTTTCGTAATATAAATGATTGATCGATTTTAAAAATGGAACATTTGACACTATTGCAAATAAGTTGCGTGTTGTGGTCATTCTGTTAAATAATAATCTAATAAAGTTTATTTCTTAGAATCTAAAGACAAAATATGTTTTGTTTAGCATTACCGACTCCCTCCCTCATTTTGTACCAAACGGCAATGTTGCGCGCGCCTCGCTACGTACTCATTCACTGCTACTATAACATTACCTATCCTCACCTCAAATGAGGGGTAACTCGCGAGCCCCTCACGAGGGAAAATGAGTTACTCACTCATCCTCATTAAAAAAGATTGAGTAACACAACGCTATTGACCACAGTGCAGGAGCATTCCCTATGAATTTGATGTGAAATAAAAGAGTAGGATCATAACTCACCACGATTGGTGCGTGACAAACAACAAAAAATACCTTTTAGTTATTTATTGTCTATTTGTTTTCATTATACAGAATGTAGTTGTTGAAAGTTTACAAGCTCCTCAATTTTTCTAGCCACATTTAGCAGTAAGTCTTCTGACAGATAAGGACCCATTAGCTGCAATGATAAAGGCAAACCATTTTTTGAGAGTCTAATTGGTATGGATACAGCTGGTATCCCTGCCATGTTGGCAGGTTGGGTGCAATAATCTTGTAATGCACACTGATCTCTGTTGTGTTTTGATACAAAATCTTTATACAAAGGTGCATCAATCAAAGTAGTCGGAGTTAGTAGCAAATCAACTGAGTCCTCTCCTTCAAAAACATTTTTAAAGTCATCGGAAATAAGACGTCTCAACTTAAGAGCTTTTATGAAATATTTCTCATAATTTCTTGACAATAAGAAGTAGTTGCCGGCAAATATTCTACATCTTACAACATCATTAAAACCTTGAGACCTAGATGATGCGTATAACTCTTCTGTAGAATGATCTTCTTCTGTTCTCAGACCATATTCCAAGCCATCATATCTAGCCATATTACTGGCAACTTCACACTGATTCAAAACAGAGTAAACTGCAATAGATATTGAAGTGTGTGGTAAAGATACAGATTTTATTACTGCTTTCTCATTTTCTAATAAATCAGCTACATACTGCCATGTGTCCAACACTTCTTTACTCATCCCTTCACAATGGTATTCTTTTGGTATTCCAATTTTTATTTTTGGTAAACTTATCTCTTTCATAATGACTGGGTTGAATTGTCTTTTAATTGTAGTTGAATCCATTTCATCTGGACCAGCTAAACAATTCAGAACGGTTACTACATCTCCAACAGTTCTAGCTAGAATACCAGGGACATCCATTGAATTGACTAATGGTATGAGACCATATCTTGACACAAGACCATATGTTGGTTTAAATCCGACCACTCCACATAGTGCTGCTGGATTTCTTGTTGAACCACCTGTGTCAGACCCCAATGCAGCCAAGCAAGCCCCAGTGGAAACTGCAACAGCACTTCCACCAGAACTACCTCCAGCTATCCTCCAGTCACCATCTTCTTTCTTATAACACCATGGATTTTTTGTGGGGCCAAAGATAGAATCTATAGTTCCAGAACCCATAGCAAACTCATCCATATTACATTTCCCAATAAGACACGCACCAGCTTGTCTCAATCTTGAATAAACGGTAGCATCATAAGTTGGTACAAAATTTTTCAGCATGTTAGAAGCACAGGTAGTGTTTATATTCTTTGTACAAAAGTTGTCTTTAATACCTATGGAAATACCTTCAAGAGATTTTATATTTTTTTCAACATATAGCCTTTTTTCACTCTCAATCCCATGATTTTCTGCTTCTGTAGCCGTAATAGTCACGAAAGCGTTTAATTCACTAGTTTGTTTAGCTTTTTTCAAACACAAATCTACAAAACTGGTAGGGGTCAACAGTTTGTCTGTATAAGCTTTGTGTATCTCTTTTATGGTATAAGTCGTTAATTTGTTCATTTTAAAAAGTAAATATAACCAACTTTCTATTAACTTTTCACATTTGAAACAGATTTTTAGAGGTTATAAATTTACAGCTGATACACTTGACCAAGTTGACGTTACGCTTACTCTCCGAACCGACAGAATTTGAAAGTTCTCTTACCTGTGGCTGACTTTTCTTGGTCTTCTTTTTTATTTAATTTTGATAATAACATTAGAAGCTCTTGACTATTTACGGAATGCATCTTTAAACCCTTATTTTTCAAATGCTACAAACAAAACTTATATATACTGAAAAAATAATATAAGAACTGCTAACTTTAGTTTGAAACACCAACAACATAGGGCTTGAAAGTTGAAAATAAGACATGCACGATAAATCGGATATCCGATACATGATGATTTATCGACTCTATTGACTACTAAAATACATCGCTATATTGAAAAACAGCTATATAGATATTGAAAAACAGCTATATAGATATAGAAAAACAAATATATCGAAACTTCATTTTGAATGAAATTATAAGTAAGGGTAAATCTATAAAATTTTGTTTAACCCTGATTTTAGCTTTAAAATTTTAAGTTTCATAGTTAGGTGTTATTTCCAGTCTAATCGCAATTATTTAGTAGAAACATGTATTTTGTACGCTTTTCTTTAAAAGCAACACGTATAGAATAATAAGATCGAGAAATGCTTTGTGCATTGCATGCATTTAAAAAGATATCGATAAGTACCGCTATATCGGCATTGTAAATGAATATATCGATACAAAAAAGTATCTAAGTTTGAAACTTTGCAAATTTTAGTTTTTTAATATGTTAGTTAAAAGGAACGGAAATAATTATCTTTGGTCCATTCGTTTCCTGCAAAAAGCAACTTTTGCTAAAGGCACCTTGTAGTAAGATGCTTTTTTTGTCCTTTCTTTTTTTAATACTTCCTCAAACAGTACTGAAACCGTAGACTAAAGATGCGGAGCAAAGAGAAGTATATATGTAGCAGCCAAATGGTTAAATCACCCGTCCAATGAGGAAGTATTTTAAGAAAAAATAAATGGCACCATACCATAGAGCAATAATATAGGTTGGGGTACACCATACAATTAAAGAGCTAGCCACCCAATTGGACGGCTGATTTAACCAGTGGTCTGTAACATATGTATAAAGAACTATTTATCAGGAGATACTACGTATATTGATGAACCCCTTTTGAAACGTAAATCATAGATTATATGAATGAATTATTACACTACCATCGGCAAATTTTCTTCTTTAATAAAATTGAAACACAAAAAGTAAATACACCAATAACTTTTTTAAAAAAAAATTTTTCACTTTATTCTAAATAAAAAATTGTGATATTATTCTATCGATAAGTCGATAGAAATACCAATATATTTTTAACAACATGGTCATTGGGCAACACTTCAATCATAAATTCGGAATTTGTACGAAATCGGTTTTATCGAGAATTTTAGATTTTCTATCTTAAATTCTCTTGTTTTAATTAATGGCTTATGAAGATTTGCTAGTAGTAAAACGGCATAAAATTTAACTCGCATAAAATCTTAGAATTAAATGAGTAAAAATGGCCCATCTACAGTACATTCCGGGTGATCCTCGCCTGGTAGACCAAATAGTATATGAGCTGAAGTCTAAGGGAATCTTCGATCAAGTAAGAGTTTTCTTATTTCATTAATTATTTATTCATTAGCAGTAACATGATAATATTATTAGGTCTCATTAGAATGGCTAATGGAGATCATCTCGATGGGATAATTTTGTTTTCTTTTAATACCTCAGTATTAAGTTGTTCGCTATGTAAGCGTAATTCTATCAAATATAATTAGTTGGAAAAGTAAATTTGTTATATCTAACTATCTAATAAGTAGTATTTTTTTTTACTTGAATTTCAATCATTAAGCAACTAATCTGATACCTAACTCAATAGTGGAAGCCAAAAATCATAGAAGAGCCAAAAGTAAATGAATTGAATTGACTTTTTGATATTCTTACTAATGCTTAAAAGCTCCACTTTGACCCTGACATTTTGAGATGGGACTCGAGCCCATGACCTTTAGCTACCCAGGAACCAACAGGATTGACAAATTTTCAAGCACTTGTTACTTTTCGCTACTACACAGAGTATATTCATCAATTGTTTGGGCAAACAGCCCAAAGAAATATTTTTAAAGTTTCAATAAAGATCAAAGTAGCGAAAAGTAACAAGTGCTTGAAAAATTTGTTAGTCCTGTTAGGTCCTGGGTAGTACAGTGGTTAGAGCAGTCACCCAGACTGCAAAAAGTCATAGGTTCGAGTCCCATCTCAGAGTGCCAGGGATGAAGTGGATTTTGTACGAATTTTTCATTAAGAATATTATGAATTAGATTTTTTATTCATTTATATTTAAAGGTAAATGTATTAATTATTTAATAGGAATTGATTGTTCAAAATACCTAAGTGTGATAGATAAATTTCTGATTTTAAAAAGCTGTCTTATAAGGGTAGTAAATAATGAAAATATTAAAAATTCCATCATGCCAAAATCTCTTAATTACATGGTAATGTATGTATGATAATAAACCTAACCATCCATATAAATATATTATAAAAAAGTTTTAGTATATTTAAGTACTTTATATTTTGAATAATTTATTAAATTCAAATATTTCTGTAAACTGTTGTTATAATAATTTGAATAAAATGATCTTTCATATTAGGGTATATTTTCAAATAATTATTACAGATGTTTTTTTTTTTAAATTAAGATATTTCATAGTAATATTTTGCTTTGTCATAATTTCAGTTTCGGAAAGATTGTATAGCCGATGTGGACACTCGGCCTGCATATCAAAATTTGAGACAGAGAGTTGAGAATTCTGTATCTACATTCTTGGCGAGGCAGTGCTGGCAACCTGACTTAAACAAAAATCAACTTAGAGAAAAACTTAGAAAGCACATTTTGGAGTAAGTTTAATTCTAAATGAAGCACATTTTATTTTCTATCTGCAGTACATTTCATTATATATTTTTTTGCCTTGTCTTAAATATCATACATGTAATTTATGTTTGTGATGAGTACATTTTTATAAGTATCTTTTCAAATCCTTTATCTTAATATAAACATTATCATTGTTAGTAGGTGCTCAAATTAACATCAACATAACATTACTTTATGACACTGCTAAGGTATTATCTTATTTTGAATTATGCAGTGAGAAATTAAGAAATTGTATACTTTCCTTTTGTAATAAAAAACCACTTTTCCAATACATCAGTAATGTTTTGAAAATTGTAATATAATTGATTGTCAAAGAGAGTCACAGTAGATTTTGAATAACCATTCAGTCACATCTTCGACATGTATATCTATACCATAAGAAACATTACAGTCTTACTTCTTTATCATTATTACTTCATAGCGGTATTCTTTTGTCTTCAACATAAGACTTAATGTAACATTTTTCAACATGGGTTGCCCGGAAGAGTTTGATGCCTAGCTGTAAGGCCACCTTATGAATACTTTCTTCTTTTGCTTCATGTAATGTTTCCTATTCAGTGTAAAATAAAAGAAAATGTTATTGATTAAATTACAATCACCACCACCACAGGGCACTTTCGATGATTCTCTTAGAACCTTACTTGTGCTTGTTGCTACAATAGTTTTGCATTGAAGTGGATTCTGTAAGAAAAGGAATATCCTGTTCCGAATCTAGTTTCAATTGAGTTTCAGTTTCGTATTCCAGAATTCCTAATTTATAATGATTACAAATTATGTTGCAGAAACAGCAAAGTAATTATGAGATTGTCTGAATATATTATCTGTGACTTGTTGCATAATAAGTGTACCTTTAAACACTATAAATTCTTTTGATTGTTATTTTTGTCATTCAATATTTTATTCCTAGGTAATTCTCACGCAAAATATGATCTAACATATACAAATTAGTTATTTCAGCTTTTTGGATAATTATCCTATCAGCAGTCAGCTCACATATTGCTCCTAGATCATCTGATACTCCACCAATAAAAATGTTTTTATATTTTCCTGCTTATGTGGTAGGTAGATTTGATTAGTAGATCTGATTTCGTAATAGTTATTTCGTCTTTGGACATCTTTGACTTCTTTAGGCACCATATTTTTATAAAATAAATATCATTTCATATGGGCATTAATTTTCTGGATTCTAAAGTTAGACTTCAGTTTCATTTTTGAACCCAAAAAACTAAAAGAAAATGTACTCATAAATTATAAAAATAATTCTCGATTTATTCATATTACATTTAAATTACTTGTCGATAACTGTACATTCTATAATAATAAATTAAAGGAGGACCCAAAAATATTTAATCTGTTTACATTAAAACATGATAAACATTAGTCCCTAACCACTACCATCAGTGTAATCAGAATAAACTCATTAATAAAATCATTCGCTTAGAGATTGATAAAGTCACTGGACAAGCATGTGGTTTCACAAAAACAGTTAAAATTACACTACATTATAAAATAGCCGTTGCGAAGGGTGTATTGTAAGCAGACAAGTACCAGCCTAAGTTTTACATTGGCCGGTGTATATTCGTGCTACATTAAAATGAAGCCGCAAAATTTAAAAATTAAAAAGTGTCTATAATAGGATTGATGACAAAATTTGCAGATAAAATTCAAATAAAAAAAAAACAAGCAGTTGATTAAACGTCACATTATTTGCGCAACTAAGCGTTACTACTTCAAAATTACAAATTATCAATGAAAATTAAATCGTAAATGTTATATTTCAAGAAATAAAGATTCTCAAATACAAAATTTCGAAATTCGGACACTGTTAGGGATTGACATATTGGTTATGAAAAAAATATTTTCATATTGTATATATTATGATTAGAAACAAAAATTGGAGTACCATTAAAACACATATGGATAAAAATTATACAATTATTAAATCAGCAGTCAATATTCCAATTTTTTTTTAATTTTCTCCAATATATGTTGTTGAGTCTAAATAATAGATTGCCCTTAGTTGTCTTTTTTGTAAAATAAACGTACTCTCAATATCAGCTGCAGTTCCCACAATGTAAGACCATAAGACATGATACTTTTCAAAATATAAGTGATGCAAATGAAGCTCTTTAACATTTTGTTCTTTATATTTGATTCAGCGTCATCAACATAACGTATGGGTATGGTTTTGTCCTGGCCTATAATATTATAAACATATAAATTCCTATAATATTGAGTTACCTATCTTTTTCTACATGTATTTACTCAGAGCACCATAACAAAATTTTGAGCAGCTAATACTACATGGCTAAGCCTCGGTTGCATCAAATTACTTAAACAATAACAATCATGTTAAATTAACAGCTAAGCAAATAGTGAGTTCCATCATTTGACAATGGTGAGATAACAATGTTACTTTAACTGTTAACTATAGCCACCCAACCAACGGCTACCTATAATGATTGTTTTACTATATCGAGAAAAAGGATGGTGCAACACATTCTACAGTCAATGTTAAAGCCAGTGTTTTAGTCATTGTTAAATTTGATATAAGTCATAACTTTAATTAATCAGTGCAATCCAGCTTAAGTATAACAAACTTTTCTGTCAGCCGATAGCAGTTTTGCCAACAATTAAGCTTGCTATCCACCAGGAAATCACTAAGAATCACCACAAAAAAATATGAAAAAAGCTAAGTTGAAAGAACATCCCGCTTTTTTGGTAGCCCTAAATGGTTCACTAAAAATATCTCTAGGGATGTCTATAATTAGTATCTAAATTCTTCATTTGTCCGAAATAAAGTAAATAATGTGAGATGGATCACAAGTATTGCTTAAAAAGCAAATATTCTTGCATCAAATGACGAAATGTGTATTTCAAAAAGATTTAAGTCATTGAAAATATAATTAGTAGTTGAGCGAATCCACATACCTATTGAAAATATGTTTATATTTATGTTCAAATAAAACGTTGAGTTTGTCAAAGTATGAAATGATTTATCATTATATTCTCCTTCCTCGTATGCTCTTGTCAGAGCAGCCGTGCCAAAGTAGCGTAGGATTCCGGTGTTCACTATAATCGCACCCCCGGTGCGACACTGTCACTTTTGCAAAAAATACAAAAATTAGTTAAATATGTAATAATTGTCCTAAAGCCCCCTTTACTTGATGCGATAATGCTCCTTTTGTAGGGACTATGACTACGGAACTATGTTCCGTATGATTCATCTCATCTGTATCTTCTAAAGTCATTGTTTTGTGAGGTGGCAGAGTTTAAAACTCTTCTCCTGAAAAACTAATTTTTTGCATAAGTGACAGTGTCGCACCGGGAGTGCGATATGTAGGCGGATGTTAACACACAATTTGTTTAGGACGGAGATATTTGTACTTCGTTGAATCCATGGAATGCGGAGCATCCAACTCCATAGCCACATTTCCAGTGCATCAATTAGCTTTTTCTCTCGCTCCTTTCTGCGTTGTATAAAAATATGGGGAATAGAACCTTGTATTATGGTTAAAATATTTTTATTCTTTATTCGAAATAGTTACAATCACACAAATCGTAAAGATTATTTGACAACATAGCATAATAACATTTAAATCATCATTCATTTGAAAAGCAATTGCGACTTTAAACATTACTCAATTTAGTACTGTCATAACCGCTATACGTTCAAAAGGGATTGTGATAGTGGATTTATTAAGCGTTTTTCATCAATATGGTTAGCAGTGTAGCATTGTGAATGCAAAATTGATTAACTATAATAATTGGAAATTATTTTTTACAGTGGCAATTACTTGGAACAGGGTGTAGAAAGGATAGTTGATCAGGTGGTGAACCCTAAAGTTGCATCAGTATTTATTCCGCAAGTTGAAGATTTGGTTTATAATTATCTAGGAATTACAAGAAAAAAAACAGTTCCTGTACCAGAAACTTCAAACGTAAAAGTTAGTAACAATGACCTTCTTCCTACTGACCTTGAAGCCGTTAGCCCTGGTTCGGTTAATGAAGACAAAAGTGAAGAAATATGTGTTCCCGGATTGGAAGATGAAGCAAAAATGGATGTGGATCAAGAAGAAAATTCTAAATTAGAAATGAAAGAAGATAATGCAAATGATGTAACCGATAAGACAAAAAATGAAGTACAGGACACTGAAATGTCTTGTGTAAGTGAACCTGTTTCTATCGATTCGCCTGGCAGCATGGATAAGAGTTCGATCCCATTGCCAGAAGAAGAAATTAAACTTGAAAATATACCAGCCCCTGAAAGTAGTCCACCTAAAGCGACAAAGGTTAAAGTTGAGCTTGAGAAAATACAACTACCAGAAGAACCTAATGTTTCTACAGACATTCCATTACCAGAGGAAACTTTTAAATCTGATAAAGAACATTATTTTAAACCTGTAAATAGTGATGATGACTCCAGTTCTGATTCATCTCTTCGAAGGAATATGTCGCCTTTGACACCTATAAGAAATTTCAATAATGAGAATTCCTGTGATGCTCAACAAGCTTTCGATAATGATTCTGGAGATAGTAAGAGTGACAAAAAAGAAATAGTAGAACCAAATGTTTTTAGATTTACCATTGAATCTAAGAATGAGAACAGTTCAGAAACTGCAAAGTTAGAAAAGAAAGATACAGACCAAGCAAACTTATCATACCAATTCAGCAACCAAGTAAACATAAATACATTTAATACTCTAATGTATGACGATAGCTCAAACAGTAATCTACTACATATTGATTATGAAAGCGATGCAAATAGTAAACTAAATATTGAAAACAAGACTTTGGAAGCTGACCAAAATTCTAATGAAACCAAAAAAGATAAAAAGCAGGAAGAAAAGAAAAATAGTCACAAAAGTTCCCATCATAAAGATTCTCACAGACATTCCAACAGTAAAGATAGACGGTCAGACTCTAAGCAGTCCAGCTCTAAAGACAGTAAATCTGATAAAAAATCTTCTAAAGATGATAACAAGGCAGCTACAAAATCCAGCCATAAAGAAAGATCCAGTGACAGAAGTGACAAAAAAGACAGCAGGGAATCATCAAAGCACAGAAGCTCCCATAAAAGCTCAAGTAGTCACAAAGATTCAAAGTCACATAGAAGTTCTAGTTCCAGTCAAAGACATTCAAGCTCTAAACATTCTGATGAAAAGAAATCTTCTTCATCTAGCCATAGAGATAAAGATAAGAGCTCTAAGGATGATAAACACTCGAAAGAAAAACAAGCGAAAGATTCAAAGTCTGGATCCAGTTCACATAGGTCTGATAAAGATAGAAAAAGTTCCAGTAGCAGCAAAACTAAACATGATGATAAAGAAAAGAAAAAAGAAAAGAAAGACACAGATGATCATTATAGTGCATCAGGTAGAGGTAGTCATAGTCGCCGATCAACCGATAGAGATTCTAATGATGGCAGTTCATCTTCAAAAGGTTCCCATAATCCATCTATTGGAAAATCTTCTGACAGTAAAAAAGAAAGCAAAGGTTCTACATCAAAATCTGATACCACTTCGACTAGTGGAGATTCTACCAGTCCTAGTGATAAAGATCATCAAATTAATGAAATAAAACAGGCAAACTCTGCAAATGTACCACAAACTAAGCCTGTTATAAGGGTCGATAATCATTTAGAAGTGCCTATACTTTCACCACCTAGACTTCCTTTTGTGCCTGATGTGACATTAAAAAAACCTAAAATAGCCGCGAACCTTGAAGAAGCAAGGAAATTGATGAAAATGCGAAAGTTTTTAGACGATGAACAAAAAAGGATGAATCAAGAGGCTGCACTACTTTTGGAATTCCAAGCGAATGTTAGGCCAAGTATGAGTCAAGTATATTCAAGCATACCTGGACCAGAGCTCGAGTTTGCTTGTGTCACTACCACTTCCTCCGAAATTACTGTAGGCGAACCTCAAACACAGGCTGAAAATAAAATTATACAATTAGATAATATTGAACCAAGAAACGATTCTATCAGTGATATATTGAATGCAGCTCAACAAGTTGAAAATATAGAGGAGAGAAAAAATGTAGAAATCCAAGAAATAAAATATTCTGAGGTTCAAACAAAAACAGAATCCGAAATTATTGGGACTGAAATAGACGATAGAGTCAATGAAACTGATAAAGCTACAGTTCATATTGAAAATTCAGCTGCTTTTGAAGAAAAAGATCAACAAACACATCCGAATGATAAAAACATTCAAATATTTAATATTTTGTCCTCTGGTAACGAAGATATTGAAAATAAGGTACTCATTAATAGAGTGAAAGAATCAGAAATACCAAACAGTTTAGAAGATAATAACACAAAAGCAGAACTTAAAAATGAAACTGAAATAGAAAATGTGAATTATGGTTTGTCTGAAACAGATGACATTGAAATGAAACTTAGCTTATTACATGAAAAGAAATATTCTGTGCAAGTTATTGTTATAGCAGAAGAAGTGTCAGACAATGAAGATTTTCCATCAGGTCCTACTAATGAAGTTGCAGAAATTAATGCAAAGTGTGAAGAAGAAAATCTTTTAGAATATTTTGCAGAACATGAAAAGTATAAAGCTGAATTGGAAAGGGATAGGTTTAGTAAATTTTTTAAAGCATTCTCTAAAAATTGCACTGAGAAAATGTATTTGATAAATTGTGATACTTATGAAAAAAATATTGTTAAAGAAGTTTTACAAAACTTGGGTAACTATGAAGTCGTGAACTATTATAAAAATGGTTATTTGAAACGTAATAGCGCTGGAAAGAACATCATTAGGAATGTTAATGTGTCTTCTGAAATTTCTTTACCTGTTGAAATTCCCATGTCAGAATCTTCACCACTTGTGTTTAGTCCTGTAAAATCTGAATGTTCGTTTGAGCTCTCTAGTGATTACAATGCAAAATTAGAGGAGATGGTCAGTAAAACATCCAGGAAAGAAATATTGGAAATCATACTCGGCAGTGTCGCAGATGAATCCGTAAACGATTCGGAAATGCCTACTATCGATTATTGTTCCGAATCTAACATAGAAAATGTCACAGAAAATGCAGTCAAAAGAAAATATTGCGAAGTGGAGAGCAGTGAAAATAATAACAGACACATCCTGACTCCGAATAAGATAAGGAAGCTCAGTGATTCAGAGCAAATAACGTCTACTACCGGGGGTGAGTTAATCACATTCATAATATAAATGTTATATAACGTTACAGAGTCTTTTAATTGTTTAATAATTTGATGGGTTCGGTGCTTTGGTGTTGGTAGAAAATGAAACGGCTGACTGGGCTTGATTTGTAGGCATGATATTTTATGGTGTTAAAAAAGAACCTTTTCTGGATTTACTTTTAAATATGTCTCTTATTTTCACATTGAAAAATGTATAACATATTAAACATATTTTATTTTAACAGATTACTAAATTTTATTTAATTAAAATCTAATGTTATGTATGTACTGGTAGAAGAATTTTCACGATCCAATATTCAGAAAGAGCATGTCGCGTTACAGTACTGAATAATATTTTTATTAATTATAAGAATTTTTTCTCCTCTTCAGTCAGTATTTATGTGAAAAATCTTTAAATTATTTTGTGACTTATAATTTTAATTTTCAGAATCTGAAGAGTCGAGTAATAACAATGTGTCGTTAAATAATTCAAATGTGAGATCTAAATACTTGGGTAGAGCGAGGAGGGTGGGACTGCCGAGGCCTCGAAGATCTAGTGAGTACTCATGTATACAAGTTATACAGAACTGTTAAATTTTTATATTTCATTTTAAATTATTTTATGTCGGCAATTAAGTTCAAAATCAATTGCGGGCATTTAATATTTTGCTTTGTGTTCACACTACATAACCTGCTAAAAATTAAATTAGAATATTATGTACAAGTATAAGTAGTTTCTTAAAAAAAAAAACAGTTTTTTCATCAAACTGTATATTTTTCTAAAATTTACGAGTGAGATATTACAAACACAAGAGTTTTTCATTATGATACATATAAATTATTAAATAATTTGGACAAAGATTTCATGACTATAGATATCTGAAACTGTCTGAGCCCAACATGCAATATGCATTGGTTATTCAGTTTCAATTATACTTCATAAGAAATAAGTATACATTTTATTACAGACGTATCCAACAGTCCGTCCAGCGACAAATCTATAGAGAACTACGAACAAAACACCCCCGTCGCACAAACGCCCAACGGCAAAATAAAAACTCCCAGAAACAAGGTTCAACGGTACGACACCTCAGAGTTGTATAAACCTAAACTGCATTATTTGTCCAGGCGAAATAATATAAGTTAAGAGAACGATATTAGACTAGGTACTTTAATGTATTTACAATTTATCACAATTTTATATCTGTTTCCCAGTGACGATTGATCTTTTACGACAGGGAATTTAGAATTTTATTTTTATTTTGATATCATTATAAGCGGATTGTGTTGCATGTCGGCTAAATTAAATTTGGACGAGTGCAACACTCATAGATAGTTTTAAAAGCAGTTAAAAACATAACATAAATTGGAATGTATTATCCAAACGTTTTAACAATTTAGAAAATGAAACCTTCACCCGTCGGCCATCTTTACTTGATCTTCGCCTTGTTATCTCCCCTCAGTAATGAATTCATTTACACATGTTTAAATTTAAGTTTAGACTAAACTATATGTACAGTAAGTTATTATATCTGATTTTTGAAATTAATATCAGTATGTTTTAAAAATGATAATTTTGGAATGATTCTCTGTAAGATTTATTATTGATTATTATTCTGTTATAAATGATAGGATTCTCTTAAAAACATTTTTTTGTTAATTGACCGTTAATCTACTATTAACTTTTATAATCTATTAGAGTTAATAAATCCATTTATATTAATGTCGTTCATGAATTAAACTTTAAATTAGAAAAATATATTTCTAAAAGAACTTTCTGTACGTTTATGAATTGAAATATAATAAACTGGAAATATCCATTGAAAGAGTGATTATCTAAGATATTCAAATGTTATGTTAATGCATAGTACAGTCGACATGTGAATTTACTACCAAAGGCATTTCTGTAAACGATTTTAAGCCTTAAACTGTTAGTAGTTTAGTCTTATATAGTGACCTGACTGTGACTGTTGTGTGTATCTTACTAACATGCGGTCAGCGCGCCAAAAATATGGGCTACCACCCTACGGTTTAGGTTCATTTCAACGAATTAGAAAAAAAAAATATTAACACGATGACCATTATTTCAATAGTCAAGACTTATAACGTCATAATTCAGCATCTAAACTCCGTTAGGAAAGTAAACCTTTGCGATTATTAGGTCTTTCAGAAACTTATCAAAACCTATATGCCACTTTTTGACCGACCGTACACTTCATGAACATTATTTAGTAATATTTTTTTAAATTACGGTTGGCTCATTATAGGACGCCACATTTGACATCTAACAATCTAAAATGGACACTCAGGTGTCCCTGTTTAAAATATTCGATTAATATAACGAATAAAACCGGTTTTCTTGTCTAGCATTATTATATGTAATTTTTTTCAAAATTCTAGGCCGGGCTGTTGCGACGATGGGAAAATAGCCACTTTTTGTTTATTTGCTAATTACTTCAATATTATTTGTCTACAAAATATGTAAATAATGAATTTCTCTCAATTTTTACACTGGTATCTATAGCCGAGAAAAGTGATTACTTGAGTATTTACTTCTCTCGAGTGATAGAATAATTTGCAAGTGACCCGTTATAGTCCCTATTTTTATCACCTAGTTGACGTAATTTATAATGTAACATCATACCGTATCTCCTATACACTTGTTAAGTTATAATACTTGACATCTTTTTTGTTTGAGGTATGGTCCCCGAAAAATTAAAAATATTTAGTAAGTATCGATAGTTTTGCCATATCGATAATAACAAGTGGGCGAAGTCGAGTAAAAGTTAGTTGTAAATAATTTTGTTTGTATTTAGAATACATTAAGTATTTAATTTTAAGTTTATATAAAAGACTGTGATGATTAATTATTATTTTATTAAAGGCGTATATATGTTTGCCCATTTCGAGATTGTTTATACCATGGACTAATTAGTTGGTTCATTATTTTGTTGAAAGCTATACAATACAATTTGTTATTAAACCTAGCACTTATAAAGTTTATAATTGCTTGATGCTGACTATGTTGATGGATTTGTAATCGTTTGTGACGAGTGGAATAATTGCATAACTGATATTAGATTTTTGCCTCTAGATGTTATGATTTAAATAAATTAGTAATAGTGTAAAAATATGGAATATTGTATTATAAAATAATAAATTATTATAAATACTACACTATACACGTGTTTTATTAAAAAGGTACTTTGGCTTTGTATATAATCAAAAAGTACAGGCATATTGATGTTATACCTTATTTGTTGAATGCTGAAGTTTAAAATTTACTACAATTTGGATTTTTCTAGTAAACTGACATGCTGCTGTTTGTACTTTATAATATCAATGGCATGATATTAACATTGCATCATTGTACTATAATCTTAATTGCGTATGATATCGTGGCGTGTCATAAGGAAATCAATGTTTATTTGAAGTTTTTCAAAGCTATGATATTGATAAGTTTGTGTACATTTTAGGTAATTAATATCATAGCTTGTAGTACACAGTTTATATTATACAAATTAATATTCGGTATAAAAGCACTGAGAATGAGAAGGATTATTTGTGTTCATAAACAAAGGTCAATAAGCCGTTGTTGAATGCAAGAAGAAATTTCCTGTAAATAAATAATTAATAAATTATCTACTTTATGTTCAACCTTTTCATCTTTTGACATGAATAAGTGGTTGGGAAATGTGAGAACTTAGTATGGAAGATTAAATAGTTCAATATATTTCTTTGTTGATGAGGTCCCAGATTATTAATTAAAATTCTTATGAAAAAGACTGTTGAAAGAATAATTTTACATAATTTGAAAATATGACAGGTTTATGAGTATTATAAATAAAAACAAATTGTAAACAATAAAATAATCTTTATTACAAAACATGATGTAATAGGTCACTAATACAATGAGTTTCAAATTCACAGAAAATAAACTAATGAAAAATAAATACACCAAAAGGGCTAGAGTTGATGGAGATTATGTTGGATCATGATCTAAAACATAGTAATACTTTTTGATAAATACTCCAATTTTCTTAATTTACCCGGACAAAAATATATTAAAAGATCAATGCTACAGTATTTTTACAACCACAAAACGTTTTGTTTATATATTTATTTTTGTAGTTTCATTCTAAGTTACTTCAGCTGCTTTAAATTTGTACCCGTTTTTAAAATAGCAGATAGAAACACTTAAACACACAATTGAAGGATAAAAGTGTAAAGAAATCTATTAAGGAATTCCATCATACTGTAATAGAAATAATAATTGTATTTCAGGTTGGGAAAGTAAGATTTAACTGATAAACCAACTTAAACCTGATATTCTTATGTCTGCATTTTTTTAGAAAACATAGTAAGTACTTTTTATATTTTACTTATTTTAGAAGTTTTTCAATGAATTAAGATACCTAAAGCAAAACTTTACAGGTTATAGTTACATCATGGTAACAGTGTCTTATGTGTGAAAGAAGTTAGTTAGATGCTGATTGCTTCTCTAGTCCTGCTGGGTCTAAAATAGGTGTCTGTTTCTTGACAATACCTGATAGCAATGTTTTGATTTGAGCTATGGCCCGGCCTGGATTCAAGCCTTTAGGGCACGTCCTAGTGCAATTCATAATTGTGTGGCAGCGATACACTGAATAGGTGTCCTTTAACTTTGATAAGCGTTTCTCAGTTGCATCGTCTCTAGAATCTATGATCCATCTGTAGGCTTGCATGAGCACTGCAGGGCCAAGATATTTGTCTCCATTCCACCAATATGAAGGACAACTGGTGGAGCAGCATGCACATAAGACGCATTCATATAAACCATCTAATTTGGCTCTATCTTCAACATCTTGAAGCAGTTGGGTTTCCTTACCTTTTGTAGCTTCTTTACTACGCTGCAACCAAGGCTCTATAGACTGGTACTGACGATAGAAATTAGTTAAATCCGGCACCAAATCTTTAACAACATACATATGGGGTAGCGGGTATATTTTGCCTGGTTTCGATAGGTTTTGGTCAATGTGGCTGATACAAGCGAGTGTGTTAATCCCGTCGATATTCATGGCACAAGAGCCACATACACCCTCGCGGCAAGACCTTCTGAATGTAAGAGTTGGGTCCATTTCGTTCTTGATCTTCAATAACGCGTCAAGGACCATAGGAGCACAGTCATCAAGGTCTACTTCATAGTTCTGCATATAAGGTTTCTTATCTGGTTCGTCAGGATTCCATCGATACACAGCGAAGGTTTTTACCCGTTTACTGAGCGCTTGCGAAGTCGCGAAAGTGCGTAGCTGACCAAAAGTTCCAGATGTAAGCCTGAGCAGAGGCATCGTTATGTAATGTGTTTGTATATTCAAACAAAAAAACTTGACGACACCAAATTATCACAAACAGTGTATGGTTATATTTCAAAGCCACACCACTAGTTTATATGATTATCAGATAGCATAGAAAGTTAAGAATCGAAATAAAAATAGCACACACAATACACTGTCGTGACACTTCTGATATCGACGACAGCTGTATGCATAGGGATGCGTTGATAAATCAATGTAAAGGAAAAATTGTTATAGAAACCTAATAACAATCGATGTTTGACATCGATATTCAGTATAGTAAAGTATAGAAGATATAAAATCTCTAAAAGCCAGGAATATAATAGACTTTTTGAAGTCTACCGGGCTAAAGGAGTTACTATAGATCTGGCGGCGAGTCACAATAGATCTTCAAGGTCGCAGTGACTACAGTTCCTCAGGGAACTGCATAGCCCCTCACAGCAATAAATAATAAAAGTATAGTCATTTGATACAATGTTATCGAAGAACGGCCTCCTTTTTTTTTAATGTTTGATACTTTCAAATCTCGTTCTATTTCTAATAAAATGAGGACTCCACGTTCGTGAAAATCGACTATTTTTCCGAGCTGAAGGAGCAAAAATCCCCCCTCCGAACCCACCACAAAAGAAATGACGATCGTCCAAACAGAGGTCGAAAAATGCACATTTTCCAGGTGAAATATCTCGGCCGCCATTTTGTTTTTTAATCAAACTTTTTTTCAGTCTCATTTTTTTAGCCAAATCGATCGTTTTGAATATCGTAACCGTAGAGTGTATACTTTAGAAATTAAAAAAATTATCTCGTCGCCATTTTGTTTTTTGGCTGCACAGCAATACCGTTTCAACTCGAATAAAAATAATATTGTCACTCTCCATACATGATAATATCGATTTCCCCCTCCTTCTACCCGAAAAAAGCATGGAGTGAGTGAGTCAGTCAGTCAGTGAGTGGTAATTAAGCTTTATATATTATAGATATTCAAAACATTGTTGTCACGAAATAAAAAAAAACTTTGAATACGTTTTCGGTGCAATGGTATTATGCGCTCTGTAACAGAGCGTATTGTCTATATATATATATATACCAATTCACTGAATCGGCAATAGGGAATATGCACATTTTTGGAAAATGTTTTTATATGATAATTTACATCGATATATAACTGTAAAAAAATACCCGGCACCGAAAAAATTAAATTTTGTAACATTAATCATTGATGAAAATAAGTAATAGCTACGAGCAGTTTAAACACCGGAATTTTTGGCGCGCTCGTCGTGACGTCAAAGTACACGACTAGAGATATGACATTTTAAATCAATATGGATTTTGAGTGGTTGATTTTTATTCAATTACCCAAATCGATTAACAACTAATCGATTTTTTAAAGTATAATAGACTTTTTTAATAAACCTTATAATTTACCAAATTGGTGAAATAAAAATAAAAGGCTAAAACATCATTAAAATTGTCATCAGTTGTTTATTTTGCGACATAATACATTGATGTTATTGTATCGATGTTAACTTTTTGTAACAACGACATCCCTACACGAGTACATTTTCGTCACATCCGCTCAGACAAGTAGCATGGCGTTTTAATATTTTGAAGTTACCGCATTTATTTTGCACTTTTTAATAATTATTTTCAAGACGAAAACTAACTAATGTTGAAAAATATTTAGATAGACTTTATTCTAAAGCATTAACGACTGTAATAAAATATATTTAACCCTTTTTTGAATCAGATGCATATTCCCTATTCACCGAAGCAACCGAAAGAAATCTTTTAAACTTTTGTTCAATATAAAAATTTGTTCAAATTATAACATTTGATCAATTGCATCCACAATGCTTTACTAAAAAATATTCTTAATGAAAAATGCTTAAAAATCCACTTTGTCCTTGACACTTTGATATGGCACTTGTACCCATGACCTTTCGAGCCCAGGTTGAGAAGATCTTAGAGTATGTTCCGATATACACTGCGACCACTGAACAGTATGACGTCAATTTAGTATACTGGAAGCCCGTTCCTTTATAGCTAGTTATACTGGTGACTTTTTAAAACGGAACGCAGTCCAGTATACTGTTAATCCTATTTTTTGGCGCCATTTTCAAATTTGTTAATGCAAGGTGAATATAAATATAAAGATTCCCTCTTTTCAAAAGAAAATTGGAAAATTGTATAAAAAAAATATTTATCAATTAAATCCATCTTATAAATAAACGCATTTTTTTTTTGTTTATTTAGAAACTTATCATTTTCTGATTCTGTTTTGACTGATCACGTGATCAAAAGCACTGCGAGCACCTTACCTCGAAATCTCCAGTGCTCACAGTACAAATATGGCGGCAATTTATGACGTCATAAATTTTGCTAGGGTACTGTAGCAGTGTACTGGCAGTCCATAACGGAACGGATTTTTCAGCAGTAAGACCACTGCGCAGTGCTCGCAGTGTATATCGGAACATACTCTTTATTACTCGATTTTTCATCCCTATGTATTCAATTCAGTGTGACCAACTCTTAGTTCAATTCTTTAAGGACCAATTCTAGTTTTACGACCTACCAGAAAACCACTAAAGTTAGCATATCAGAATCTCAAACATTCAACAAATGTTTTATTTTTGTAACATTTATTTGTAACATTTGTATCTGTTTTTGTGAGGTTTATGCATATTAGTGGCATTATTTGATATTCGATGAACAGAGGTTTTAAACATATAGTAATGTCCTTATCATATTTTATGCTAATAGCTGTCATTCGATATTTCTTCTCCCTATGAGACGACTTGTCATTTCATATTTTTCCCCTATTTTTGTGAAGTTGATCCAAATTTTTGGTGCATTAATATAATGAAATTTGATAACAATAAATCTAATTTCTGTAGTTGAGGATCCACTATTGACCAAAGGAATAAATTCAAGGAAAGGACCTTTTTAGTTTTCTATAAACTGCCGCACTGTTGACTGTACATAAAATTGAGATAAATGGTTTTTTTTTGTATAATATAGCAGGCACGGCTTGTGCATTTTGCCAATGTCAAGTAAAAAGGTAAATGGTTTAAAGGGATGGTATTTTTTTTTTGTGATATTTTTGGCTGGGATGCAGAGTCCTTTAAGCCATTATAGGGATACTTTGGAACATTACATAGCTAAGCTGTAAACATTTTCCTTTAAACATAAAATAAATTAATCAATCATTTGATATTTCAATTGATTTTTCTTAACTGGCGTCGCTATTTGGCGCGAATGTGGAGAACATAGATTTTCTTGTGTTAATGCATAAAAAACGTTTTGTTTGGATTGGATGGATTAGATTGATTTGGAACTTTCGAACGAGTTGCTAAGGAGAGGAGAATTTAATGAGATACTTTTGTGTGATAGAACATAAATAATTAATATTTAAAGTTTGTATGTGGACAAAAGTAAATATCGGACAATACAAGACGAGATAAGTTATATATAAGTGAAAGCTAAATAAGTTTTGAGTAAATGTCAATAATAAATAAGTAGGTCGAAAGAATAACGATGAAGACTACATCTTCCATGAAAAGTGATAAAAACATCGAATCTCCAAAAACACCAGGTGGTATAAGTAAATCTTTACTTACACCTTGCCGTAGAGTTGGACTGTCTCGCAATTGGAGAAAAAAGGGACCATCACCGTTTATGTCCCCGTTGGCTACAAATACAGAAATTAATCCTTGTACCAATGACACACCTAGAAAGCGAAAACAACTCGATGAAGAAACGACACAAGAACATAACAAAGAAATCTTGTTTAAAATAGTTGAAGAAACCTCTCAGACCAATACTGATATTAACCAGTTTCCACAAGAATACAATGAAATAGATAAAACACCATCAAGAAATATAAGTTTTCCAAAAAGAAAAAGGTCAAAAACTTCTATTAAATCTAAAATTGATAATTTAATCACTGAAGGAAACACATCTTTGGATACAACAAAAGAAAGAAAATATTTAAAAGAAGGAGCGGATGCTGAAAATACACACAATCAAGATAAGGTAGTAACACCTATTAGAACCAATTCTGAAAGTAAAAGCAAGGAGGAAATTATTGATTCATTGCTAGAAAATCCTTCTAGATGTAATGATGTAAAGGAGAATGTTGACATTAATGAAATAAATCAGCAGCAAAAAGGCCTTGGTAAAAATAGTCCAGAGAACTTAACGAAAGAGTGTATAGTTGTTATCCAGAAAAAGATTTTTAAAAAAGATTTAGATAAACTAAAGAAATCTAATAAAAAAGAAAGCAAAAATAAAACTCAATCTAATGCGTCACAAGTATTATTTGATTCTGACTCTGACGATGTACCATTATCTATTTTAAATAAAAATAGTGAAAATATTGTTGAAACAAAAATAGAACCCACTATAACAAACTTAGATACTGATGATGATTTTATGGAAAACACTAAGATTAAGGTTAAAAAATTAGAAGATAAAACCACATCTACAGGAGGCTTACAAAATAAACCAAATGTTAAAAAGAAACTTAGTTCTCATAAAGAAGTTATAAAAAAATCAAGAAAGGAATCTAATAGTACAGAACATAAACCAGAATCCCAAGGTTCTCTTGATGATGATGATGATGATTTTGTTATGGAGAAGCGAACTATTCTCATCAGAAAGTCTTATGATAAAGTAACTCAACCATTAAAAGCAAAATCTACTGGCTCTATAACACAAAAGGACATTGATGATATAAAAGCTCGTATAGAAAGTAAGAAAAAATTACTGTTAGCCAAAGCAATGACTAAAGATACTGAAGAATTAAGAGGTTTAATAAAAAAATGGCAGAGAGGATGCCAAGATGCATTAATGGAGTTGATGGAGTTAATGAGACAAAAATTCCCAGAGAAACAGAATATGGATTACTCTGAAATTCTTAGAACTCTTAAGATTCCAGCCTCAATGGTGGGATATGATGAAGAAAATGATATTTTTATTACACCTACAGATGAAAATATAATTATATCCAAATTCAATAATTTTTAAAGTGTTAAGTTTAATAAATGTATTTCTTAATTGTTGAACATTGTTGCAGTTTGTTTTAGTTATATCTATACTAATATTATAAAGCTGAACAGTTTGTTTGTTTGTGTTGAATAGACCATTTATTGAGGAAGGCTTTAGGCTAAATAACATCACGCTGCGACTATTAGAAGCATAGAAATAATGGCAAACGCGGACGAAGTCGCTGGCAGTCACCAGTCTATAATATAAACTAAATCCAAAGTGGGCTTTGTGTCTCACACTAAAGATTTATTCAAACAGATGTCAACAAGTTCTATTTATTTCACTTTAAATAAAATTGTTCAATATATGAATAAATTGTACTTAAATATGATTCTACCCATTATTATTAGTATATTTCTACACAATGTTAGTATGATTTTAGTACTGAAATAACATGTTAATATGCACATATAAATAATTATTACCACACAATATATCACGGTCATGGGATGGGTGACCAAAATAATAATTATCTCGACCTACTTCGTGCTTCGGAAGGCATGTTAAGCCGTTAGTCCCGGCTGCATTGGGCCAGTGTGGAGGGTCATGGCCCATCCTCCTTAACCATCCATAAGGAAGGCCTGAGTACTGCAGTGGGGACGTAAAAAGGGCTGATGATGATGATGATATACTATAATATTCAAAGGATATTCACACTAATTTATGTATGGTTTTCCAGTTGAAAGTTCCTCATTTTCTGAACTTTAGGCAGATGTTGGTATAATTAACATACATATTACCATGAATAAATTATGTAAATTAAACAATTTAGGTCACTAAACTTATTCTTTATTTTTTACAATCCTAGTACTGTGTAACTAATTCTAAAACCTGTGTGGTCTGATTGGATTTTCCGGATCAAATAGTTTTGGATCTTTTATGAATCTCTTATCCTTGTAGTAATAAGGTAGGTAAGCACAGTTTTGTGCTTTAGTTATTTCTGCTTCCACTTGCATTTGCTTCTGACGGCATAAACCTGTAATATGTCTCCCGTATATACGACCGGTATAAGGGCTCTGAAATTGCGATAGAAGGCGATAGTTTTTATAGTCTGGTGTTACGTTCAGTTTACATAGGATACATTGTCTGCGTTCTTTCGTATACGGATTTTCTATTTCAACGGGAGCGTCATCAGATGAAGATATTTTGACATCGTTGGAAGTTAGTCTAACAGTTGGGACAATCCGTACATTGACTGAAAACGAAGTTCTGTTTAGTTTTTGATTTAATATCATCGTGAAACTTTTCAGTTGATATTTTTCACTGTTATACCCACCTATATGTCTGTTTATAATTTTTTTTAACAGAGCCATGTTCTATAAGGTTATTCTTCAACTAAACAATAGTTTAATGCTATGTTCAGTTTAAAAAAGGTAAAAATAACCTTTATAGTGATCTGCGCCTATAATTGAAGCCTAAAATTTTTTTTTAAATTCATTTCTTCCTTTTCAGGGTAGGCAAAGGACTTTCATCCATACAGCCACCTAAAATTGATTTTTGACTTTGACGGGCTATAAAATCAATCGTTGTTATATTAAAAAGGTAAAACTGATATTATCCTATTTATTATTTTTATTATATAGTTCATGTTTTTCTTTGCCTCGGGTTGCCTGGAAGAGATTACTACGTAGCAATAAGGTCGCCCCTTTGAAATCTTTCTCTTTTTTTCTATCTTCTCTGTATTATGTCCTGTCAAGCGTGCAATAAAGAATATTATTATTATTATTATCCTTACATCCTAGGTTGGGTATTATATTGTTTTCACAAAAACTTTCTTATTTAAAACAAGTGTTTCCATTAGTCTATTTGGTATTTCTTATATTATAATAAATGCATAAAATATTAAGTTTTTAAACTGATTGGCTAGTTACTTGACAGTTTTTGCATAAATCAAAAACGTCCAAATAACCTACCTGCTGCAAAACCTTTAAAACGAAATAATTTTATTCATTAGATTATTTTACTGAATCTATAATCTATCTATATAATATAAAAATGAATCGCAAAATGTGTTGGTAAGCGCATAACAACGCCTCGACCAATTTGGCCAAATCTTTTTAAAATGTTCGTTGAAGTTCAATGATGGTTTTTACGGCGAGAAAAATTAGAATTATTGCTGGAAAAACCCTAAAAATAGCCCTTTTCTTTTTCCCATACAAATGATTTGTAACTAAAACGTAGTCAATTTGAGCTTTATTGCTATGGTATAAAGTTCATATTAAATTACAAGCACTCACTGTTGTCTAAGCAATGTAGGTGTGTTCCTAACGTCAAAGATCATATCTATCAAAACAATGTGCGTGTGTGCGTTGGAGCACAGAATACATAGTTGGAGGAGTTTAATGTCGCGTTCCGAAACTCGCGTTTCTTTTGTATTAGTTTCGGCACGCGAGATAAAATGCATCAGAATTTTTTTAAATACGTAGGCAAAAAGCTGCCACATTACAAATCTTTTTGACAGGACGAAGTCTGTCGGGTCAGCTAGTAGTTAATAATTATGTGTTTTTTTCTTTTTTGATTTTTGAGCTACAGTTAAATCTCTTTTGTGTAATGTAAAATGGAACTACTACAACCAGTCAAATGATTTTAAGACATTGGCGGTATGAATTACTATGTACATGAAGCAAAATCTTTGAATCTATTTTAATGAAGACTCGACACAAAATTTTGGCAAACAGTTCTTAATAAGTCGGGGAAAAATTTTCTTCGCATTTTATATGAAAATTCAAAACAATTAAAAAAAGTTTATTTACATTTAAGAACAGTATGTAGGTACCATTTTATTCGATGATTTTTTGCCATATGTAGGGACATGATCCCATTGCTATAGAAATTTTGGGGCTTCTGATCAAAAAACCGCGACAAGTGGTTTTGGCAGTCCTCGCGTGATGTTAACCTGTAACTGCTTAGAGAATTCTGATGAGACCAAAATAGGTGAAAATCAGCAGGTGTAAGGTCAGGACTATACGACGGATGCATCATCAGCTCCTAGCCAAACTCTCTTAATATTTGTTGAGTGTCAAAAAATGTGCGAGGCCTAGCTTCATCATGATGAAAAATCACACCTCTTTTATTAATTAATTCTGGCCGCTTCTCTCGACTTCTTCCTTGAATCTCATCAGTGGTTTCCAATAGAGTTCAGAATCGATGGTCCTGCCTGGTTGTAACAGCTCATAATGAATAATATCCTTACCCACCATACACACTGCATCACCTTCTTGCGATTTAACCCAGGTTTTTCTGTGAAGCCTGGTCGACTTTTGACCACGACCTTTTTCGCACGTTCTTGTCATACGTGATCCATTTTTCGTCACCAATTATCAGCTTCTTCAAAAATGGTTCGGTTTCAATACGCCGTCGTAAAGAATCACAAATTAGTTCATGATTCATTAGGTTCCTTTCACCGAGTTCATGAGGTACCCAAATGTACATTTTTTTGTGTATCCAGGTTTTTCCTAAATGCGCCAAAACTTTTTTGTAGTCAATTTGCAGTTCTTCAGCTACGTCGTAATTACTGATATGCCGATCTTGCTCCACGTTTTCAAATTGTCATACATTTTATCCATAGCAGGGCGACCGGACCGACATGCATCTTTGACAGAAAGATAAGGACTGTTCTACACTCACAGAAACTGCGCTAGGTCCATAAATAAATGTCACAATTTTTTCGCGGCTTGCATCGAGTTTTGCCTTTATTATAAAAAAAAAATCACCAATTTTCCTAATTTGAAATCGGAGTTATCGTCTTTGAAACTTTTTAACAAAACCAGCCAGATACAAATGGTATACCCAGAAATATTTTATTACAAGTTAATGCATATTTTAAGCGAAAAGACTTTTCCTCAGCCTAATAAATGTAAAAGTATAGAACGCTATATATGTATCTATATATATTCCATGGAGTACCCTTCTACAAGACAAGAGCATTTTTCGTGGGTCTGACGCGTTGTGTTGCCTCAAAAATGCCTCGTGCTCATTATATTCGTCGTTAGGCAGCCTTCATTAAATAAGAAAAAAAACATTTTGATATTCTTTGATAATACATTTATTTGCTTTCCTGATTTTAATTATGTATAAGGCAAGGTATTTATCAACAGGTAAATATAAATATCTGTGGAATTTTGAATCAGCCCTGCGATTCTGTAAAAATCCAGAGCAGAATTCGAATTCACGTCATTTAGTGTAGCAATTAAAAACAAATTGATAGAATATACGTGTCGATATACCTATATTCTTATGTCATTTCGAAACTAACTTTACTTATCCCATATATGCCTATTGGGTCGTTTTCGTGCCTGTGGTAGTAACTCGTTTATAATAAGCCCAGCTCGCGAGTATCTTCTCTATTTTATGTTTTAGCAGCATTTATTACTAGTTTAGAGAACTACATTTACGTACGAAAAAGCACCATTGTGAAATTTCTTCTTTTTATTAGTGAATTTGAAATGCAAATTCGAATTCGTTTAATTGTCTAAAAAAAATTTGAATGTACCTATAAAAATGTAAGCATATCATATATTTCCTTTGTTACTACTTGGTCTTAATTGTTTTATAATTAATCCAATGTGTGTTTTAGCGATTATAATAAAGATATTACTACTAAGAATATTTTTTATTATTGTAATCGATCGCAATATTTTGTTGGGTCAAAAACGACCCCTTGACCATATAGCACGCATAAAGTTTTTAATTTTTAGTGTTAACTACAAATGAAATAATCGAAGTCCTGAAGGAATTAGACCCCGGTGAACATGTCCAGTGCATCGATGTTTACATGGAACCTCCAGGCGTCGGCATGGTGTCAGATGGTGATTCCAGAGAAGAGGACTGTGACGATATAAATAGGTTGAATCGAAACACATTGCTTGCCTCTACCGAAATGATTATGTTACAGCGTGATTGTGATGATGACGACACAACTACCAATGAGATCAGTGGTACAACTACTTCCATTGTCGGCGACTGTACTCCTTCAATATCGACCACAACACGTAAAGTCACGGTCATGATGAAGATTCGTCCTCAATTGAGCCATCTACTACGGTTGATAATGAATCTCGTACTCAATCAATCACCTAATCTCGCTACCAGAAAATAACGTGAAAGTTAGTGAAACAGTTCGGTAAAACAGGGTGGATAAGTGTCCACTAAAGGACGTCAAGTCACGCAAAAAAAAACAGCCCAGAGGCCTTTATGACAGGCTAGATACGAAAGACAGAATTTGCGTCGTGCGATGGAATGACAATAGCGCTATACACTCTTATCCAATGAATTTGGAATAAACCCCATTCAAAAAGCACGCCAATATTCAGTGGCTGCTAAACAGAACAGTTCGGTAAAACAGGGTGGATAAGTGTCCACTAAAGGACGTCAAGTCATGCAAAAAAAAAACAGCCCAGAGGCCTTTATGACAGGCTAGATACGAAAGACAGAATTTGCGTAGTGCGATGGAATGCCAATAGCGCTATACACTCTTATCCAATGAATTTGGAATAAACCCCATTCAAATAGCACGCCAATATTCAGTGGCTGCTAAACAGAAAATTGATATCGACCAACCAGACCTCATACATCGATACAATCAATTTATGGGAGGTGTAGTCAGACTGGATGCTAATGTCGGGGTGTGCCGGATTGCTGTGAGAGGAAAAGTCCCATATGGGTGTGGCTTATTGATGTCGCTGTCAATAATGCTTCATTGCTTGCTAGATCTAGGGGCAAACGTTGATACACGGAACTAACGTCGATCTATTGCAAGGACTCTACTCAAAAAATATGCAATTTCGCCATCTCATCTTCTGCAGCGGTACAGGAGAGAACAGGAGTACCTCTATCTGTGTAATGCTGCTCAGCATATTATTCAGATTGCACCCACTAGAAAAAGATGTGCGCTGTGTACGTATAAAACAGTCAAAATGTGCGGCAAATGTGGTTTAAATCTGTACGAAAAAAGTTTTGGACAATTCCATTAGTTATTGAATTGAATAATTTATTAAATTAAATTGAATTATTTATGTACCAATGTTTCTAATTAACATTGAGACTGATTAAACCTAAAGACTTAAAAATAAATATTGATTTTCAATAACATAAAGTTTTGTATTATTTAATTCTAGGCCATACTAGTGTATGGCCACATATACGGAAGGGGTCGTTTACGACCCATTAAAAAAACCTACTTTCAGCAATAAAAAATAGCGTTATGCCCGTTTTTTGGGGTCAACAAGGAATACCTTATGTGAAAATCGTAAAATTCGGTGCTAAAAATAGTTCTGCGCATATATGGGTTATGGCAGAAAACGTTATTACCGATTCAAGGTTGAGGGGATGCTGCTTTTTGAAGTAAATTTGGACACCTGAATGAATTCGAATTCGGGTTTAGATTTTTACAGAATCGCAGGGCAAATAGGGAAAAT